ATCTAACGTTGGTAATTGCTGACTCTTTATTCCAACACTGAGCGAACTCTCTGCTCCTCGTCACGGTGCGTCTCAGGTGATGGTTATCACTCTGCCCAAGTAGCAGTGCTTCGCCTTCAGAAAATATAGTATTTATACGGTTAAAAGATGTCTGTGTCTCATATGGCCTTGATATTTGCACACTCTGTGACTATACAAACCACAACATGTAAATAGGAAAACGTTTGCATTATTTTGTCACTCATTTGGATTAGTATGAAAGCTGCAACCATTCACATCCAGTCTTTGTGCTAAGCTAGGCTAGCGGTGGGTGCGTCAAACAGACTTATAGCATGCACGGAGATGAAAAAGGTATGTATGGACTTATCTAACTCTGGGGGGTAAGGTGAATAGGCTAAAGTCCCAAAAAGTCGGAGTGTTCCTTTAAATAAAGGTGGTTTATCAAATACTGTACACTTAACTGAAATGAATAGCGTTAATCAAAGAAAATGTGAAATAAAAACACATTTGCTGAAGCACCCATGTCATTTTACCCTGTTCTACAAGTTTTTGAGCTCTTTTATTATAGTGACCTACCGTGCAAGTTTACTACGTCAGGAAAGCCATACTTTTGGAGCCGATTCTGTGATGCAAATGTCAAAAAGTTTTAAGGCCATAACAAATTGCAAAGAACTGAGTACAAATATTAAGTCTTTATTAACCCTCTGGCGCAGTTCAATTATTTTTTGACAGAAAAACAGTATGTTTTGTTTTAAATTTTTTTTTACTTCAACGAAATTGTACGAAGTGTGGTAAAGGTTCTGGCACTTGCTGTGTGAACACACACAAACACAAATCATGTACATGATTCGAAAAGCTTAAATAATCCTGAAAAAAATAGTCAAACTTGTATTGTTCGTGTTCAAAAATGGCCGCATTGGAAATGAATTAGAGACGAAATTCATAGCTCACAGCTTGTTCAGATTTATGCCTTTGATTTTCTGACAGTTTTAGAGTAAAAACGTGTTTTGAAAAAATATATTTCATAAAAAAATTTAAAATAGTATTTTTGTGTTTTTTTTTATAAGAATAAATACATAAAGTGGCATTGTATAACTTTTTTCAACTTTAAAAAGACCCTGACCAAACTTAAGTCTGTGCTCCAAAGCATTCAAGATTTACCACAGTTTAAGTCGGAAATAAAATGTTCAGGTCCATGCTTAAAAAGTGAATACATAGATTATAACTTGTATAAATAAAATGCAGTGCCATAAAAATAGTCCCGTAAAAATACAAAACATTTGATAAAAATTATCGAACTAAAATATAGTACAATCATTTCATTGACTTTTCATTAGTACTTTTACTGCCCTTTATCTTGTACAGTAGCCTATATGTAGGTACATTTTTGGAGTTTTGCAAAAATGTTAGCAGAGGTAAGGTATATTTAGGTAAGCATATTTAGGTTGGAAATATGACAAATGTTGATTCTATTTGCTATTCAGAAAAGTCGAGCTGTGGCCCTTCAAGTGGATCTATTATTGGAAAGTGCTCCTCTCGCTGGCCTTTCTGTCCAATTAAGTCCAAACTGATCTGTGGAACTTCAGCATGGAATGAAAACATCACTGATGGCTCTCTTGAGCAAAATAAAGGTCACTTCCATATTTCTGTACTTCTCACGCTTTGCAAACTAATTTTGGACAGGGCTGAAGCGCGAGCTCCCGAACTCCAGTCTGGGCCATGGGATGACAGCTGACCGTGGTCTAAATCATTCGACAGGGCTGCAGAATCGGCCCGCCAAGCCTCTTACCAACAGCTAAAAATAAAAGCTCTGCATATATGGAGACTGAGTAATGAACATGTGCTTAGGTTTTGCTCCAGCTCATGCCGGGATCCAGAGTTAAAGGGTTAGTTCACCCAAAAATGAAAATTGTGTCATTAATGCCTCGCCCTCATGTCGTTCCAAGCCCGTAAGACCTCTGTTCATCTTGGGAACGCAGTTTAAGAGATTTAGTCTGAGAGCTGTACTTGTTCAGAAAGGAAATAAAGACATCATCAAATTAGTCCATGTGACATCAGTGAGTTAGTTAGAATGTTTAGAAGCATCGAAAATACATTTTGGTCCAAAAATAACAAAAACTACGACTATATTCAGCATCGTATTGTCTTCCGTGTTGTTGAGCCGTGTTAAATGACGCTGCTGACGTGTTATCAGTGCACCCGAGCTTCGTTTCCAGTCTGAGGGAGACGCACACTGTAAACAAAACAATGTTCGCAAACATGTCTAAGGATTTCTACACAGAGGAAGACTTGCATTTTTTTTGCCCAGCCATATTTATTTGAACCAGAATACATGAATGCACCAGATACATGTCAGCAGCGTCATTACGTCAACAGCATCACTGAACATGATTTGACAACGGAACCGGAAGGCAATACAATGCTGAATAAGTCGTAGTTTTTGTTATTTTTGGACCGAAATGTATTTTCAATGCTTCAAAATATTCTAACTAACCCACTGATGTCACATGGACTACTTTGATTTTGTCTTTATTTTCTTTCTGGACAAGGACAGTATACCGTACAGCTCTCGGACTAAATGTAAAATATCTTAAAGTGTAATTTTTCTGATGTTAGAGGACATATCTTGAGAAAAATAAGCTCAAAGTTGTATTTCTGAGTATTTCTACATTCAAATGGCTGTGAATCAGTAGCAGACGCTAAAATGCCGTCTAAAATAGACTGGAGTTGTGACGTAATAACTCCACTGGGTGGGGCCACAAGCTACTCCCTAAACTTTTTATAAACAAACATGTAGATAATGTAGAATATAACAGTAGTTAATTCATGTATAGTATATAATAAAACACACCACAGATGCACAATATAGAAAAGAGACGGACAGGGACAATATGGAACATTTATGTTTCAGATAATGTTTGTTGCACATACTTTGTTATTTAATGCCTATCAATATAAAACAATATACATTCAGACGCAGTCAATAATACGAATCTAATGTTGCATTTCATGCGAGATACCAGCGGTCACGTGACAAAAGAATGACTCAAACCCGAAGACTCGATTAACTAATAATTTCTCTTTCCAGTACTGACAGCAGGGGCGGCTCGCCCATAGAGGGCGCTGGGGCGCCGCCCTCCCTCCGACCTGTCTGTCTGTTTTTTTAATATATATTATAATTTATCATTTTGAAAAATAATCTTTGTTAATTATATGCTAATAATGGTTTTACTTTGAAACGTGTTTTGAACTCACCAGAATGATATTTGCATTCACTTTCGTTACTTTTATCATGTTGGTGTAGTAGTATAGCCAATAGGCTGTCTTCTCAGGGCGCCAGTTCGCTCAGCCCCACAGTGCTGGAATTTAAGCCAATGGTTCCCCGGTTGCTATGCAAAAAAGTTTATATTTCGCCAATCAGCGCCGTCAAATTTTATGGTTTGGGGGCGCTGAAAATATCGCCCACAGTATCAGATTAGGGGAGTGCACTGTGCATGCGCACCACGGGACATTTTTTTACCTCAGATGAGAGAAGAATGGCAGCGCCAGTGACGTCGAGTGGAAATAATGTAAAGTTAGTCGCTCTGTCACTCACTCACTCACTCACTCACACACACATAAACACTGTTTCACACACATTTGATATTAAAATAGTTATAGGAATATTAATACCTGTGTGTTTGCTTTGTTTTTTGATGTTTTTAAGTTCTGAGCTAGATTACTGTGTTTCATACTAGTTAAAATCAACTTTCTTCTCATACTTGGGTGTTACAATCAAGAATGTTGTCCCACCCTCTCTTTCAGAGCCTTTTCTCTCTCTCTTTCTCTAGTATCAACACATTGTTATCCATTATCCAATTGTCGATTTGTCAAAAATATGTAGTCTACAGCTGGGGATTGATTAAACTAGATTGTTGTATTACCTATTTTTTTTTTTTTACCTATATTATAATTTATCAATATTATGCGTTTGCACTTTTTCTGTCAGCACACAGAGCATAATAAACATGCAACTTGTTCATTATCATGAACTGTCAAACTGTTATTATTATTATTGTATTATTTGACCATTGGTATTGACTGGTTTAAGTTATTTTATTGGTATAGGTAAGGGCATGGCCTAAGGCCTAAAATGCACTAGAATGCAGGAAATCACATCTACTAAATTCAAAATTTTCTGGGGGGGAACCCCCAGACCCCCCTCTTATTCAGCCCCCCCTACAATAATTTTCACCAGCCGCCACTGACTGACAGCATAGTCTCTTTGGGACTGACAGGAAAAACAAAAGACTTCCGAACCCGGCCGAACCCGAACCTCGAGACTCGAAATATGAACCAATCATTACTCTTTCCGGTCCTGCTGTATCACACACGGAACGGACCAGCAGACAGATCAGAGTCAGACACCGACGAGTCGACAGCTAACGTATCGAGACACGAGAGGAGGAGAACAAACCTGATAAATATGAAGTTGCAAAGGAAAGAATATCTCGGATCAGGAGGTGAGGTGAACTAACAGAATCAGACAGCAATAGCCTGAACTTAAGACCCAACATCTAATAAATTAATACAACATTTGAGTTGCTTATAATTTGTAAGTGTAAGCTAGCGGGAGAGACAGAGCTCTCAGCAACGGAGAGGGGGAGGGTCGTCTCCGTGCCAACAGCTCCGCCCACAACGCAGAGGCAAATTGCTAATGAGCTACTGCCGAAGTGAAGTCCCAGAAAACGGCACAGGTTTTGTGATTTTGGCTAAAAATGGCATAATCATAATTTAAAGACCACTGGGAATGTTTAAAAATAAAATAGCTCAAAATATGATCGAAGATGAACAGAGGTCTTACGGGCTTGGGACGAAATGAGGGTGAGTCATTAATGACATACTGAAAATTTTTGGGTGAACTAACCCTTTAATGTTGGCGGCTGATTTCAAGTCAAACCCTTCGACTAGCCACCTCATGAGTTTGTGCGTACAAAGCTATTAATGTTCTGGTGGCTTACCCTCTTTGGACACTGCATGTCTCGGGCCAAATTGAGCAAAAGCTCATGGGAAATTGGATCCACTAGGTTGAGGAAGGCAGCGTTCTTGTAGAGGATGTCATTGAGAGATGTTCCTTCAAGACCCAGGTCCTGTCGAGAAAGAACGAGAGAGAGAGAGCGAGAGATTGTTAAGCATGCAGGATTACAAATTCAAGTAAAGGTCACTGATAAACCTCGATATTCAACAACTTAATCCTTTCATCCTACGCCTCCAATCTCCATTCGCCAGATTACACAAGGGGCTTTTTTTGAATGACATGCAGATAAAGTAATCTTTGCATCACGAGTTTACTTCTAGTCCTTCGGAAGAAAGAAAACTCTAAATAGAAGCCGAACGGTTTGTTGATTTACTGCTGGACCAGCGCTGCTAACCTTTAAGTTCAGCTTCTTTACATAAGGCAGAGAAAGTTTCTGCAGACACAGTGACAGCTTATTAGTCGGACTTATCGTAGACAGCTAAAGTGTTTTCCCCCACTGAACAGCCAAGGCAAGCAAGTCTGATACGACCAACAGAGAAAGAAAAAAAAGCATGTGGGAGAATCAAGAACAAATTCCCTGAGGAATTTAATCCACTGGTCTGTGCAATTAGAAGAGACAAAGCAAACATATAGAAGTGAATAAGAGGGCGAAACACATTTCATGCATCGAGGCAAATGCCATCATCACAAAGCAACAACTACACCACCCTGTGAGTCGAATCAAAAACAGATCCCACTGAAAATGATGAAGAAACTGGCAGGCGGAGGAAAGCTGCTGAGTCCAAGGAAGTGGAAACTCCCTTTGGGTTTCACGCTGATATATTGCACTTCTTTTTCTCAGGGATTCCCTGCCATCTGGAAGCTCCTCCAAGCTCTCTATTTTTCATCTATAAAGCCTACTGTTAGCACGGGTCATTTCTGTTCTGCAGTACCTCTAAAATGAATATGAATGCATTGTAATTTAAGAACGCTTTTCTATTAAAGTGTCGCAGTATTAACGCAGGGAAAAAACTCTTTGTACTGGTAAAGCAAAGTAATACAATGCCAGGAATGAAATAAAAAAACTCAAGTTAGCCAAAATCCACTGACATGATTCAAGTGAAATTATTTAAAATTTATCCCTATGACTGTTATTTTAGTTGTACGTATACTTTTATAGTATTTATTCATATTTTGAATGACCTTTTTTTATATAAGTCCTTTTGTTATGTGGTTATGATATTTCCACTATTTTTTCAAGTTTCAGTTTTTCATATAATATTTAGATTTTATGTTATTTCAGCTTTATTTTAATTACCAAAAACATTAGTTTCAGTTGAAAAAAAAAAAACTAATTTGACTTACACCTTAATCCAATATGTTTAGACTTATATGATGGCGGGAACATACTACAATAGGAATGACCCAAGCATTATGGCAAAGCCGAGATTAAAGTGCAATCAAAGAGACAACATTTTAATTTCAACGTTATTATGCAACCACAAAATCTTTGCAGCATTGACATCCACTGCATGTGCTCAGTAGAGCATGTAAGTGGAGTTGTTTCCTGCCTTTGCTCAATGAGAGTCAACAGCAGAAAATGAATTGCACTCATTAGGGCACAGGAAGAGCTACAGCAGAGATAAGGGATGTTGTTTTTGTCCTCCTCTCTCACTTTCTTTCTCTCACTCTCTCTCTGGGCCAAAAGAAAGTATTCCGCTCCATCTTTTTGGCCATCAGTTGATTAACATCCATCCATTTTTCCTTGAACAGTAAAGCAGCTTTTCAATGCGCAGCAATTCATTTCCACTGATGGGCAGTAACGCGTTAGAAGTAACGCGTTACTGTAATCCAATTACTTTTTTCCAGTAACGAGTAAAGTAAGGGATTGCAATTGAAAAAACAGTAATTAGATTACCGTTACTTCCCCGTAAACAGCCTGCGTTACTGCGTTAGTTAACCGTGATTTTGTTTAGTCAGACTGTCTCGTGACATGAGTCGTGCGTGAATAAAAATAATGTAGGCTATGAGCGACACGACACACCCCCGATTTCTCGCGCTGAAGTGTCAATCCCGTCGGTCAAATGCCTGAAAGATGAGTTTATTTATCAATCTAACCGTTGAGCCACATTTGTGATTGACTAGTTATACCGCAAATTAGTTAAAATCTCCCGGAATCTAGAGCGAGCGCACATGCGAGACTGTGTTCCAAAGTCCAAACTTCGTATCGCGCGCAAGACGAGGAGAGCAAGAGAGAGACTTGCGTACTATGCAGAGAGCATCCTGATCTGGAAACAGGACCCCCGTTGGAGAATGTCAAAATTCTACCTCAAATCTGAGCAAGCATGTCACGAAACAGTCTCACACGTAAAGCAGCAAGCCGGTACAGGAATGTGAAACTCCCCCATCTGACATGACCGCTGCGGCTACATGACTGTTTAACTCCGAAAAAAAAAAAAAAAAAAAAAAAAAAACTTGAAGCCAAAATACGGCATGCAACAGCATTTTCTGTTTTGATCAACTAATTTTTACTCCTCTCTGCAATTTACTGTTAAAAGACGTAATACACTGTAGTCAGGAGCGACTTTCATGATTTTATTTTATTTTTACATCTATTCAAATGAAGGATTTTACAAAATATATTTATTTTATATGCTGGAATATGTAGAAATTTATATTAACAGAAGAAGGGCTGTCTTTTTCATTAAAATGGTGGAATGTGCAGAAAATATCTAAATGTTAAATGTTCAACAATTTTCTTCTAGTCTGAGACTGTTGCATTTAATTTAATTTAATTTGTGCTTGATGCAATGTGCATAAAGTTAAAATATTGAAACAAATAAAACAAGTTTAAAAAAAGAGAATTTTTAATTTGATTACATTTTAGATGATGGAATATGCAGAAAGAATAGAATTAGGCTGAAAGGTCTATGCTTTAGCGTATTCAGGTCGTGCATTATGTTTTTGAAAGTAACTTAGTAAAGTAACTAGTAAAGTGACTAATTTCTTTTGAAAATAAGTAATCAGTAAAGTAATTGGATTACTTTCTTGGAGAAGTAATCAGTAATCAGTAACTAATTACTATTTCCAAGTAACTTGACCAACACTGTTCATTTCTTTCAGCAGTCTTAGTTGGTAGCAGGTTTACCCCTCTCTCACCTTCAACAGGGTGTTAAGAGCTTCCAGGGCCGGGGTGACGTGAGTGAGACGGCTCCATGTTTGGAAAGCTTTTTCGACTGGCTGGGCATCCAAGTGACAATGTGCCATATCTTGACAGGGATGAAACTGTAGACTGAAAATTCACTGTGACTGTGACTAAATCGAAGATTTCCACAGATATTAAAATAATGACTCAAATAATTTGAACAAACTAAGCGCTATGTACTTATGTAATTAATATTTCTAAACACTTTTTAATAGAATGGGTTCTATTTAGAACATTAAAGAGTTCTGTCAAGCGCTTCATATAGAACCTTTAGGGATTAGTTTGAATTAATACATTTCCAATTCTTATAATTTATTTTAACAACATGTACTGATACAGAACCCCCAAAAATGGATGTTGAACTTCTCCACAGAACCCCAAAAAATGGATGAATGGATTTCAACTTAAATTACAATAAAGGAGTAGTTCACTTTTCAAAAATCTTTTGCTGATAATTTACATACTCACCCACATGTCATCCAAGATGTCCATGTCTTTCTTTCTTCAGTCGAAAAGAAATGAAGGTTTTTGATGAAAACATTCCAGCATTTTTCACCATACAATGCACTTCATTGGGAACCAAACGGTTCAAGGTCCAAAAGACAGTTTCAGTGCAAAAAGGGATTTAAACGATTCCAGGCGATGAATGAGGATCTTAATAACAAAGTTTAAGTTTTATAAGCTTAAATGGTCGCCTTGCTCTGCACTGCGATGCACGTACGTGACCCTCCTTTTCAAACTCGTTCATCAAAATGAACGAATATTTTTTCGAGTCAATTCGTTCGTTTCGTTCGTTGAATGAACCAAATGACTCGAAGAAGATTCGTTCATTTTGATGAACGAGCTCGAACACGAGAGTCACGAACGTGCGTCACAGGACAGACCAAGGCGAGCGTTTGAGCTTATAAAACGTAAACTTTGTTATTTATTTATCAAATGAGTGATCATTTCGCTTGATAAGATCCTTATTCATCGTCTGGAATCGTTTAAAGCCCTCTGAACAGTTTGCACTGAAACTGTCTTTTGGACCTTGAACCGTTTGGTTCCCACTGAAGTGCAGTATATGGAGAAAAATGTTGGTATGTTTTCATCAAAAACCTTCATTTCTTTTCGACTGAAGAAAGAATGACATGGACATCTTGGATGACAGGGGGTGAGTAAATTATCGGCAAAAGTTTTTTCAAAAGTGAACTGACTTAAAAAATATGTTGAATCTTGTTGAATCCAAAATATACTCCAAAATTAATGACATTACAATATGGCAAAGCAGAGTCATAATGGGACAACAGAAAGATTAAAGTGCAAGTATCACATGCAACAGTTATCAAAATGTGATCCTTGAAATTGTGCCTCAAATAAAATGGATGAAAGAAAAAGCCATATCTAGAGACTTAAAACAACCAAAGGGGTAAACAACCACCTAGTAACCACTCAGAACACCTTAGCAACAAAATTGCAATGTCATGGCAACCACTTGGAAACCTTAACATCATTTTGCACAGACAAGCCAGCTTTATTGTACTGTTTTCATGATATCAGATCTCCCATCATTTCATTCTGTCCCAATTCGATTCAGATGCCCAGAATCTCCTTCCAGATGTTCAACAAGCTAGGAGACATCATTAGAAAAAGACTCAAGTTGCAAAACAAAGACAAAAGAGGCTTTTCTCAGTCGCTTTTATCCAGTGAGTGTGCAACTGGAGGACCCTCATCTTCAGGTCGCATGCATTAAGATGTTCCTGTGATTTGAGGACCCTCTTGGCAAGCTAATCAATAAACACAATTCAATGACCAAAAATCCTCCTTGAAGTCATATACGCACCGACTCTCTCATAAACACTTCAAGCTTGAACTGTGGTGCTTTCATTAGCATAAGCTGGATCAATGTGTCTGCACCACTGGCCTTAGTCTACGCAGATCTGGTTAGCTATCAGGATAAATGAAGCACTGAGGAGCCTGTCAATCACCAGCTGCAATATCTGAGCACTACACAAAGACCACAACTGTTCAACCGCTATCAAACCTCTCTGTCGTGATCAGGAAACATCCAGTGAATAGCTTTGGAGAGGTGGGATTTGCTCTGAACAATTTGTGACATCCTAAAAGTCTAGTCGCAGTTGTTGGAGACCATCTCATGTCCTTTTTGACAATTGCAGTAAATGAAAAACATGCATAGCACCTATAAGCTGGTTTGTCCACCATGATCAAACATACCACAGCAAATTAATAATCCACCGATCTTTATATTATTACTATATCATAAATAATATTCAGTGCATTTATTATATGTTTAAAAAACGTAACATGGTATACCATTTTGTAAAAGGTTCTCTGAAGTACAGGGTTAGTTCACCCAAAAATGAAAATTCTGTCAGTATTTACTCACCCTTAGGTTGTTCCAACCCCGTAAGACCTTCGTTCATCTTCGGAACACACATTAGGATATTTTTTGATTAAATCTGAGAGCTGGATCACTCCTGCACACTAGTCCATAGGCTTCTTGAGGGATTGAAACTTGCTGGCCTCGAAAAGTTATTAAATACATCGTTAAAATAGTCCAAGTGACTACAGTGGCTCAATTGACTACAGTGGAAACTTGGCTCCGGCAAGTTTCAATTCCTCAAGAAGCCTATGGACTAGGGGTGTAACGGTACATGTATTCGTATTGAACCGTTTCGGTTCGAGGCTTCCGGTTCGGTACGCATACAAACCGAACGATTGCTTGGACCATTTTTCCTGCCGGCAAAATTCGTGCTGACGCGGCCAACGTTGCGCAACATCAAATGGCAAACGTAATGAAAGCAAAACGAAACTGCGCTACTCATTATGTGCTTCATGGATCGTTTATCAGTTCGGACCAGCAACATCTGTGCAGCGCGAGCCGATCTCGACCAAGCGCTAAGAGATTCGCCACTGAGGTAATAACATCGCTGCGAGATCTAGTGAGATGCATTCACATTTATCCGTTATTAACCGTAGATCTCTATTAGATCAAACAGCGCTGTCATGGAAACCAGGAGAAACATTGTGCCGTGAATGAACTAGTAATACTTTCGTCCACAGACCAGCAACATTCACCATGGATTTAATATAGCAACACTAACTGGAACCAGTTTGGCTGGAATGGTGAAATGCTTTCAAGTACTTCACACATCTTTTTCCAGCACTTCAAAATTCAAAAATTATATAAATAAATATATATTTAAATGTTATTTTTAATGTGATGACCAAAACATTATTTGTTCATCCTTCAAAGATGACCCCCATTTATAAACCTGAAAGTTTCAAGATCTAGGAAAACTCACACTTATTTAAAAATATTTTTTCTTTAAACAAATAGGAAATTTCTCTGGCATTTCTTTCTTTTTGCTGTATCGAAAACGTACCGAACCGTGACTTTAAAACCGAGGTACGTACCGAACCGTGATTTTTGTGTACCGTTACACCCCTACTATGGACTAGTATGCAGGAGTGATCCAGCTCTCAGATTTCATCAAAAATATCTTAATTTGTGTTCTGAAGATGAACAAAGGTCTTACGGGGTTGGAACAACATGAGGGTGAGTAAATACTGACATAATTTTCATTTTTGGGTGAACCCTTTAAACAGTCAATATCATGCTGTATTTTGATAGTGCCCTGGCTGGCACAATGTATGTCAAAGCACTATGGTATTATCATACTGTACCATGTTACTAACAAAGTACAGTTTGTGAGGCTTGTAACTTTATCAGTTGTTTTATTTCAAATAGATTTAATTACTATATAATTGTACCCATTTTATTGTATTTTATTGGAAATATTTGTATAGAAATCTCATACTTTTCATTGCAGACTTGACTATATGTACAGGATATCATTGCAGATACACAGTCCAACACATTTGTGATATTTCTTTTTCTTAGTGAAAACATCATGCTGCAACATCATCATCATCATCATCAACAACAACAACCTGTAGTTCTGTCTAAAAAAAAAAACAATGTGGGTTATTAATAAATTATGTTTTGTACCTTTCTAAGCAGTTTCAACACATCGATGGCTTGTTCCCCCTTCTGCTCCTTCAGCAGGGTGTGGATCTCCCGAACCCAAGCCACTCTCCGGACGTAAGGGCTGGGACTGGATTTGCGCAGCATTCCGGGGAGCTTGTCGGACTTCAGCATCAGAGAACTGAACAAAAACTCTCCTCTTCCTCCACTTTTCTTCTCCACATCCCGTTCATGATGCTGCCGATGCCCACGAACGACCGTCGCCTGGCTGTCTAAACTACTTTGCCTAGTCAACTTGGATCCCATGTTTCAACTTTCCAATTTCTGTCTAAGTATCAAATAATTCAACGCTGTTGTTTCATAAAGCATGCGTAAAGTAAACCTTATAAGACCTTTTTACTGTGTGCACGCTCATAATTGCACTTCATCTAGTTCGGTTGCTCGTGTAGGATCAAATTCATCAAGTAAAATGCATATTCATCGCACGAAAATATTAAAATGTCACTTTCCCCGCGTTTCTCTTGCCCCTGTGAACCTCTCCGCGGTGTTTGTGTTCTTCCAGGCTTCAGCACATGCCACGCCCATGTCTCACTCGCTGTCCAATCAGAGCGCTCGACTCCCACATGTGTTGTTGATGATGGGAAGCCCGTTCTGTCCTGTCAGCACGTAGCCTACTGTATAGATACCGAATTGTGTTATTAAAAAAATTATATAATAAGAACCATCAATACAACCTAAAAACCAATCAGAACAATTTCCCAGAAATATTTCCAGTGATTTACAACCACAAAATGATGTAGGCTACCATTTAGGAGCCTACATGGTATTTACATAATGTTAAAAAAAACAACCTATTTTTTATAGCTGGATAGTGCTTTTCACAATACATATAATTTCCAAAGAGCTTTACATAAAAAGGCATGCTTAGTTACAATTTAGAAGGGGACAGTGTCAAATAATCTCTGTATGTCAAAAATGTATACGGTTCTAAGATTATACAAATCATGCCGTTTGCTAATAAGCTATCACATATTAATTTAGGCAGAAACAGTGATCTGAATGCAATAATTAAAAGAGACCCTAATGATTATGCCTACAATCTATAGGAAACTTGGCAGTGGTCCACTGATTCAGAGTTGGCGTCATCTGAAGTCCTCTCAGGGGTTGGCAAACATCTGAAATCTTCATATGAGGCTGGATCCAAACTGGAGCACGCATGCATTCTTTCTACTGTGAGATTGATATCCCGAGATAAAAAAAGAAAAGCAAATGGAAAATAAGAAGCGTAGCTGCTGTTCATAACATTTCAAAGCAAAAGATAATCACATGCATTTAATCTGATATAACTGGAGTAAAAGGCTATGCGGTGCATTATGTGAATGCTTGGCTAAAGAGATGTCTTTAATCTAGATTTACTGACAGATTGAGTCTGAGCCCCGAACATTATCAAGGCCAAATGTGAAAACACTCTCCCTCCTTTAGTGGACTTGGATAGGTACTACCAAAAGTCTAGAGTTTTGTGACCTAAGAGAGCATGATGGATTGATCACCATATAAGTGCATTACAGTGATCTAGAGTGAGAACTAGATTTGTGCATCAAAAAAGATAACATGTTCCACAGCTTAGTGAGGTTTCTGAAGTGAAAGAAAGGTTTTTTTGGAACATTTGAAATATTATTATCTAATGACAAGTTTCTGTCTTATAACACTAAGGTCTAGACTACTAGAGGATGAATTAACAGAACATCCTTTTAGATGCAAATTGTATTGAGAGATTCTGTGTAGAGGCAATACCCTAGGCTTATCAGAATTTAATAAAAGAAAATTGTTGGTCATTCAACATTTAATACCCTTAACACAATCTGTCTACTTGAATAACTTCGAGATTTCATCTGGTCGTGATATATAACCGAGTATCATCGCCATAAGAGTGGAAACTAATTACAAACAATTCCATAAAAGTTGGGACACTGTACAAATTGTGAATAAAAACAGAATGCAATGATGTGGAAGTTTCAAATTTCAATATTATATTTAGAATACAACATAGATGACATATCAAATGTTTAAACTGAGAAAATGCATAATTTTAAGGGAAAAATAAGTTGATTTTAAATTTCATGGCATCAACACATCTCAAAAAAGTTGGGACAAGGCCATTTTTACCACTGTGTGGCATCCCCTCTTCTTTTACGTAATAACAGTCTGCAAACGTCTGGGGACTGAGGAGACAAGTTGCTCAAGTTTAGGAATAGGAATGTTGTCCCATTCTTGTCTAATAAAGGCTTCTAGCTGCTCAACTGTCTTAGGTCTTGTTTGTTGCATCTTCCTCTTTATGATGCGCCAAATGTTTTCTATGGGTGAAAGATCTGGACTGCAGGCTGGCCATTTCAGTACCCGGATCCTTCTTCTACACAGCCATGATGTTGTAATTGATGCAGTATGTGGTTTGGCATTGTCTTGTTGGAAAATACAAGGTCTTCCCTAAAAGAGACGATGTCTGGATAGGAGCATATGTTGTTCTAGAACTTGGATATACCTTTCAGCATTGATGGTGCCTTTCCAGATGTGTAAGCTGCCCATGCCACACGCACTCATGCAACCCCATCAGAGATGCAGGCTTCTGAACTGAGCGCTGATAACAACTTGGGTTGTCCTTGTCCTCTTTAGTCCGGATGACATGGCATCCCAGTTTTCCAAAAAGAACTTCAAATTTTGATTCGTCAGACCACAGAACAGTTTTCCACTTTGCTAGAGTCCACTTTAAATGAGCCTTGGCCCAGAGAAAACGCCTGCGCTTCTGGTTCCCGTTTAGATATGGCTTCTTTTTTTACCTATAGAGCTTTAGCCGGCAACGGTGAATGGCACGGTGGATTGTGTTCACTGACAATGTTTTCTGGAAGTATTCTTGAGCCCATGTTGCGATTTCCATTACAGTAGCATTCCTGTGTGTGATGCAGTGCCGTCTAAGGGCCCGAAGATCACAGGCATTCAGTATGGTTTTCCGGCCTTGACTCTACTATACCCAATCATGTTGCCAATTGACCTAATAAGTTGCAAATTGGTCCTCCAGCTGTTCCTTTTATGTACATTTAACTTTTCTGGCCTCTTATTGCTACCTGTCCCAACTTTTTTGGAATTTGTAGCTCTCATGAAATCCAAAAGGAGCCAATATTTGGCATGGCAATTCAAAATGTCTCACTTTCAACATTTGATATGTCATCTATGTTGTATTCTAAATATAATATTGAAATTTGAAACTTCCACATCATTGCATTCTGTTTTTATTCACAATTTGTACAGTGTCCCAACTTTTATGGAATTGGGTTTGTATAAAAATATTCAAATTAATTGAGCAATCAGTAATACCCTTGATCAGCTCTACCAAACATGGATGTTTTTCCACTAAAAGGAACTTTGTTCTTATGTTACTATGAAGCTGCTTTGATGCAATCTATACTGTGAAAAGCACTATACTTGACTCAACTTAACATGTTTTCTAACAATATTACAAAGAAACTATAAACTGTATGTATATTAAAAATAGCAGAGGGCCTAAAATAGACCCTTGTGGCACTCCATGATTTACTGGCGTTAGCTATTTTAGTTTATAAATAAAAAGGTAATGGTCAGCTATACGATCTAAAGCACCATAATGCTTGTCTCTGAATACTGGTGTATTTTGTTACCATTTTGAGTATGTCATGATCTAAATCTTGATCAGGTTTGCTTTTTGATTGTTGCTATTTGTAATACATTGTGAAGCGACCTTGGGTTCTTGAAGGCGCTATAGAAAATAAACATATTATTATTATTATTATTATTCTTATTAAATGCTTGTCAAACGCTGCACTAAGTAAAACTTAGATGCAACCTTGGTCAGTAGCTAGAAGTAAGACAGGCACATTTTTTTCTAGTATTTTTAACATAAATGGTAGATTTAAAATGCTTTAACTTGTAGTGAAGAGTTCACAAGCTTCATATCAGTGCTGAACATACACCCCTGATTTTAATTTGGTACAATAGGATGCAGGTTACACTTTTTGTTTTCTGTGAATTTACTGTAACGTATGTTTTCTTGGTAATGCGAATGTTGAGGGAAATATTCCATTTTGTCATTTTGAAAATATGTGAATGCTACTTTTCTGAACATTATGAATCAAGCAGCAACATTTAAAATGTAGATGATTGTCCAACTAAAAAAAATCAGATATGTTCCATGAACAATGTCTAAATAATGTTCTTGTGTTAATGTTTTGAGAACAATATTAAAAAACAGATAACTTTGTACTAATGTTCTATTACTGTAACACTATGTTCACAACTTTCAGAGAACCATGTTCTGAGAACTTTCTGTTAGGGATTTTGAATATTGTTGTTTTAGATGTCTACATTATGTTAAACATGTGTCCAAACTTATAGTTAATCATTCCCTAGAACGATAGACAAATGTACAAATGTGAATGGCTCAACCATTTAAAGACTAAATAAGGGAATACAAGTGATAGAGTAACAAAACCATCTTTATTTGTGAAACGTTTACTAGGGTTGTTTAGTCTACATTTTGCTGTAATTGTGGCACGTGTGAATCTGTGCCCTTTTCACCATGGTCAATAAAACAATTATGGATGATTTCACAGGTTGATTTGGTTAAAGTTTAATGGTCATAGACATTGAGAGCCACAGGTTCACAGTGTTGGCTTCGTCAGCCTGTGGGAAGGAGGCTCATTCTAGAAGAATCTACAAGAGGCCTGTGAAGTCTACAGGTAGGTGATACTCATACTCAAATCGCAATACATTAAACTCATCAATTATGAACTTAATCATCATGAGAGCTTCAACTACTTTCTCACGTGAAGCAAAGCATTTTTGTACTCGAAATATAATGCAGCATCCTAATGTTGTTGTGTCTTTTACTGTCTTTCAACACACACTGAACTCAGAAGATTATAATTTTCATTCCTTTGTTGAGATTTGTAGTATGAAATAACAGAATCGCTTGCTCTTTTCTCTATGTGAGAAAATTCTAGTCTCTTGTGGTGGGTTTAATTTTGTTGGCTGCAGGCACTGCAGGTTTCTCAGAGATGTGCTGCAGTTCGTTCCCACACACAGCACAGCCTGACAGGATTTAATGTGGACAGTAGCAGGGCTTTGAAACTATGAAAAGACAGGATTTCACTTCCCACAAGCCTTATTTTATTCCAAGTTTTCAAATTATAAATGCATGACAATTTGCTGCCTTTGGCAGGGATACATTAAGCAACATAAAATGTAGAATACGAAAGAATCAGGATGTATTTTGTTATTCTTTATAGTACTATTTTTTTTTTTTTCTCAAATAATACAGAATCAAGGGTTGAATTACACTGGGAATCAATAAGCATGCAATGATCAAAAGAGCAATTCATTACATTTTTAGCAGGAATACTCAAAGCCAACTAACGGAAAACAATTGATTGCATGCTTTTTGAATCCATAATTGTTGCCTTTACCAAGAAAGCAGAAAATGTTGTAAGTGCATTCAATTGCCAGCTGTTAGTTTTCTTATTGACTTCATATGCATTCTGTACAACAATTACTGTATTTCTGCTTTATGAATTATGATGTGTTACATAACAGAGATGGTTAACTTTTATTGCACAATCACTGATTGCAAAAGTTAATATGACTGGTCATTGTGACAATGCACATGCACCAGCTTATCTCTATATGGGACGGCTAGTACATAGTTTTAATTAGCAGTTAAATCGAATCTAACGGTTTAAATGCAGTAATTCACGTTCAGATTCACTTGATGATGTTTGTCAAATCCATAGTTTCAGAAGTCTTGAAAGATTGCTTGGAGATACGGTTGCATAGAAACATAAACAAGTTTATACACCAGCAACATTTGTTGTTGCAGGAAAATGGTGCAGAAGTATACTGTGGTGGGCCTCGCACTCCTGCTGCTGGCTGCAGTCGGCACGTTTTTGGCCGTTTTCTTTTCCGTTCAGGGCAAGAAGGCCTCTCCTGAACCTGAAAATGGTTACTTCAAGGCAGCAGTGGCAGCAGATGCTGGGACATGCTCCGAGATCGGCAGGTTTGGGTTCTGTTCTCCTTAAATGCATGTTTAGTTTTTGCCATGAAGCTGAAATAAAATTAGTTCATTAAAATCTCATTACATCAGATATTATAGTATTATTGTAAATAAATAACAAAGATGTTAGGAAGGCCATATGAGGAGCACAAAGATGTTTGGTTTGTTAACCTAAACATTTACTTGCGTCAGAGATTTTATTTTGTAGTTGAATCCTCCTCACTATCCTTTCTTTTTAAGTTTGCATGAAACAGAAGTTGTAATGAATATATAATTGAACAAGGGTGGGACTTGATTTTGACTAGTGGGAAATGATTGGATCGTTAAATGGTTGTGGTTTGCAATTGGTCAATCTCATGTGAATGACAGGTTCAGAGAATCAGAGAAGAGATGTTTAAAGTGCAGTTCATGGACAACTGCTGCATCTTTTCTAACAAAACTTTAAATAAATTTAAATAAATTAAATAAAACTTATTTTTATATTTTGTAACATTATAGTGCCACATTATATTTTGTCCAGTAGCCTGAAATGGTGGTAAGTCTATACTGATTGGTTTTATTCAAGTCAAACAATTTATTCAGTGGAAATCAACCTCACTACATTGTGCTTCATCCCAAAAAAAAAAAAAAAAAAAAAAAAGTAGTGTTGCGCACTGATATTTAAAATGATCATACCCAGGTTTGCATGCCAAAAGCCCTGTCTTTGTGCTCTCCATTCAGGGACATCCTGAAGAGAGGCGGTTCCGCTGTAGATTCTGCCATCGCGGCTCTGCTGTGCGTGGGATTGATGAATGCCCACAGCATGGGCATCGGCGGAGGGCTCTTCTTCACTATTTATGATGCCAAAACAGGTATGCAGTCACCATTGCCTGATTCAATCTGTCACACTAGTCTGCAGTGAACATGTATATGAAGAATTGATGTACCTTTTTTATATAAAGATCACTTTATTACTTATATATACGCTGCCGGCCAATGAAAAGTCTGAATCACTGAGCATGAAGAATCATGAAGAATTGGCACCTTTGAGTCCAGACCTTACATCACAACATTTATTTCCATCAAGAGTGCATACATTTTTGGTCAAGATCTTGTATTGACAATGCAAGAGTCCAGCACTCTGTAAAGTCCACTCCAGCACATCCAAAAGACATTCAATCAATTTAAGCTCTGGACTCAGAGGTGTCAGTTTATGTGTGAAAATGATTCTTCATGTTCCTCACAACCATTCGATCACAATTACCCCTTTTCCACCAAAAAAAGAACTGGTTTGGAACTGGTGCTGGTTCAAAGTTGGTTCAACTTGTGACCCTTCTCAGAGTTTGTTTTTCCACTGACTAACGAACCCAGCGAATGACATTGTTACATCACTGTGTACATCGTCATATGTCTTAGCTTTTCCTGAAACGCTTGCGACAACTTTAAAGGGACACTTCACCCATTTGCATTAACCTTTGTATCTTTGGGAACCCAGTCATATTTTTGAATGGTTTATTCCCTTATTTTCCCCTGAGATGGGAGAAATAAGGATTTAAGTGTTTTACTTCCTGCTTATTATGACGTAAAAATCGTCATTTTGCGTCATAATAAACGGGAAGTCACATTTCATTAAAAAGTGTAGAGACTACAAACATTAGCTCATTATTATTCAAGGGTGTGGGACCCACTCACCCTACAGGCCTATTACAGATCAGTGGGTGGGACTTCACTTGCAGATCAATATTGCACTGAATCAATATTGTTATGAACTGGAAGAAGAGCTTTATTGAAGGAACGTCAAACAGGTAGGGGTCAGGAAACAGCAAAACGGAATTCAGAGAGCAAGCACAGAGAGTAGTCAGGTAACAGGCAGAAGATCAGGGCAGGCAGCAAGAAACAATAATCCAGGGCAATCCAAGTCAAGACAGGCAGCAAACAGGCAGTAGTGAGATAACAATCCAAAGTCAGCAACAGTGGTGGAATGTAACGAAGTACAAATACTTTTTTACTTTACTTAAGTACATTTTTCACGTATCTTTACTTTACTTAAGTAGAATAAATAGCGCATACTTTTTACTTTTACTTCGTTACATTTTGCAGCAATTATTATACTTTCTACTCCACTACATTTCTACAACTTCTGTTACATTTTCATTACATTTTCTGATCAGGTTTTCCCCTGCCAAAACGTAATCTGACTGTCCGTTCGTTGCACATTTGTCTCACCAGTGACGTTTGGTTGCCATAGATACATCAACTAAATGCGTCTTGCATTGCGTCATTGCGTTTATCGTGCAATTTGTACGCGAAAATTAGTTTTTACGTGCATAGGAAACACACCATGTGTAATATACGTTTGGTTAGGATTATGGCAAGCCAAGAGGTTCAGAATTACACCATAAATTAATCGCATTTACTGCCAAACATAGTTATTAACATATAGTAAGGATAAGCATGATGTGTATATAGCCTAATTGCAAGCTTGTTTCAGAAATGGTGACAACAATTTTTTTTCCATAATTATTGAACATCATTATAGGGGTATTAAGTTGAATGAGTTAGAATTAAATGTTTTATTAATCATTAGAAAATAGTCATTAAGAGAATCAATTGTTATGCAAGTACTTTTACTTTTAATACTTAAAGTATATTTAAAATCAGGTACTTTTTACTTTTTACTTAAGTATGGTTGTCATTGTGTTACTTCTACTTTTACTAAAGTAAATATTTATCTGGTTATTTGTACTTTTACTTAAGTACTGAGATTCAGTACTTCCTCCACCACTGGTCAGCAAACAGATCAGCAAGATAGGGAAAAACGCTCATTGATTACAGGCCGTGGCAATACAATACTTCGCCATGGTCTATTGTTTGAGTGTGGTTTATATGGAGTGCCTGAATGAGGTGCAGGTGAGTGTGGATGAGCTGCAGGTGAAAGTGTAATCAGTCCCAGGTAAACAGCATGATGGGAATTGTAGTTTTGTGAATTGATCAATCTGATGTGGAGTGCCCTCTGGTGACTCTCAGGGGCACTCCAGCTGGTGATCATTACATAGCAAAAAAAAAAAAAAAAAAAAAACTGTCCAGGTGGGAGGTGGAGCGGAGGCGGTCAAGGCGGTGAAGACCCCTCGGGCAGCCACGGCGGTGACATGAAAAGTCTCTGGATTGACAGAGGTAATGTGAACAGTCTCTGAATCGGCCATCTTGTCCGTAGACACTGGCTCGGAGGTGGCCATTTTGTCCTTAGACACTGGCTTGGAGGCTGTGACGTGAACAGTCTCTGGATTGGCAGAAGTAACGTGAACAGTCTCTGAATCAGCCATCTTGTCCATAGACACTGGCTCGGGGGCGGCCATCTTGTCCTTAGACACTAGCTCGGAGGCGGTGCCGTGAACAGTCTCTGGCTTGGCAGAAGTGACGTGAAGCGTATCTGGCTCGGCAGAAGGGACATGAAATAAATACGAACGAGGAGTAATTAACTAATGAGTTTGCCAATGTAACGTTAACGGGGTTTGTTGTTGTGGGAAGAAGGAGGCGCAAACCGGCGAACATTTAAACATTTTAATAGTAAAATGAACAAATACAAAACTATAAGCCAGAAGCCCCACATTGACGACTGCTGTAAAGTTACACACAACAGAAACAAAACATCACAAAATCATGCATGTTTCTCTCTCGATCTGCCGTCGTCGCTCCTCATTTAATACTTTCGCTCCTCCGTGAGAGACGTGAGACCGGTGCGTGACTCATTAGGTGTCTTTCATTATCACTCACGCCCCCGGCCTCGCGCCGTCCTCTTATGTCCCTCGCCCTCGATCACCCTGCTCGCCACAGCCAACTAACTAGTTTAGCTCCAGGGACAGCTAACATTAGCCTTGTAGACGGAAGAGTGATTTCTCTGTTTGTGCTGTTCCGGATTAGCGGGTGTGGCTTGCAGAGCTGTGCATTTTCTGTTATTTTCTGTCTATTCTCGGTCAAGAGGGCACCAAATTCAAAAATTCTTTTACATTTTGACTACATATATGATCCACTTTCAATAAAGATTAATGTTGAAATGGGTGAAATGCTCCTTTAAGCATAACAATTACAATTACGTCTTTCTGCAAATGTTTCTCCTAGCTTTGCAATCCTATTCAGACTATCTTTCTAATAGCACTGTTTTTACCAATGGCGGTCACAACCTTTCCCATCGTGTTGTTGGTCACCCCGCCCCCAGCATCCGACGCGAGGGTTACGTGGTAAAAGAACGGTTCTCTGGTTCTACTCCAGCAAAGAGTTGGTGCCGCTTTGGAACCAATTTTCCTGGCCGAGAATTGGTTCTTTGGCTGTCGAAACACAACCGGCTCTGAACCGGCTCTCAAAATGCTTTGATGGAAAAGGGCAAATGTGAGCCTGATGAATCTTGACATTGTCATCCTGGAATATGACCATGATGTGTCTTCCCCACTGATGGGCAGTAACGCGTTAGAAGTAACGCGTTACTGTAATCCAATTACTTTTTTCCAGTAACGTTACTTCCCCGTAAACAGCCTGCGTTACTGCGTTAGTTAACCGTGATTTTGTTTAGTCAGACTGTCTCGTGACATGAGTCGTGCGTGAATAAAAATAATGTAGGCTATGAGCGCCGCGACATCAGTGAGAGACCACTAGAGCGCGGGAGAGAGCAGTCGAGCTGCCAGCTCTCAGACACGCTCACACGACACACCCCCGATTTCTCGCGCTGAAGTGTCAATACCGTCGGTCAAATGCCTGAAAGATGAGTTTATTTATCAATCTAACCGTTGAGCCACATTTGTGATTGACTAGTTATACCGCAAATTAGTTAAAATCTCCCGGAATCTAGAGCGAGCGCACATGCGAGACTGTGTTCCAAAGTCCAAACTTCGTATCGCGCGCAAGACGAGGAGAGCAAGAGAGAGACTTGCGTACTATGCAGAGAGCATCCTGATCTGGAAACAGGACCCCCGTTGGAGAATGTCAAAATTCTACCTCAAATCTGAGCAAGCATGTCACGAAACAGTCTCACACGTAAAGCAGCAAGCCGGTACAGGAATGTGAAACTCCCCCATCTGACATGACCGCTGCGGCTACATGCTGACTGTTTAACTCCAAGAAAAAACAAAAAAACAAAAAAAAACTTGAAGCCAAAATACGGCATGCAACAGCATTTTCTGTTTTGATCAACTAATTTTTACTCCTCTCTGCAATTTACTGTTAAAAGACGTAAGTGTTAATACACTGTAATATAGTCAGGAGCGACTTTCATGATTTTATTTTATTTTTACATCTATTCAAATGAAGGATTTTACAAAATATATTTATTTTATATGCTGGAATATGTAGAAATTTATATTAACAGAAGAAGGGCTGTCTTTTTCATTAAAATGGTGGAATGTGCAGAAAATATCTAAATGTTAAATGTTCAACAATTTTCTTCTAGTCTGAGACTGTTGCATTTAATTTAATTTAATTTTTTGCTTGATGCAATGTGCATAAAGTTAAAATATTGAAACAAATAAAACAAGTTTAAAAAAAGAGAATGTTTAATTTGATTACATTTTAGATGATGGAATATGCAGAAAGAATAGAATTAGGCTGAAAGGTCTATGCTTTAGCGTATTCAGGTCGTGCATTATGTTTTTGAAAGTAACTTAGTAAAGTAACTAGTAAAGTAACTAATTTCTTTTGAAAATAAGTAATCAGTAAAGTAATTGGATTACTTTCTTGGAGAAGTAATCAGTAATCAGTAACTAATTACTATTTCCAAGTAACTTGACCAACACTGGTCTTCCCACATGTTTGTTTAAGAAATGAAAAGCTACACACTCCATCAATTAGGGTTAGAGGAACTGTTGCCAAACATATAGCATTTGCATATTTAAATCAACAGCAACCATTTTTTTCATGTAATTTATTTCTTTTTGCAGGAAAAGTCGAAACCATCAATGCGCGTGAGACGGCCCCAGCAAACGCAACCAGAGATATGTATGGAAATAGCACAGAGCTTTCCCAGAAAGGTATCCATTAACTATATTACATAAACTATGGGAAATCATTGGTGAAACAGGATTCACACAACGTGCGGCCTTGTGAGACTGTGCCAGCATGGAGAGATAAACATAAAAAACTATCAACATAATTCCAACAATCAATAACTCAGAGTAGAACAGGCTCTGCATATGTTTAATGTCGAGGAAAGCCATAAAACTCTCTCTGTGCACATGTACATATGACACAACAACGTAGGCCCCGTTTATATCTGGTAATGGTAATAAGATGCGTTTTGGTCGATCTGATCACAAGTTGACGAGGAAAGACACATTCCCGTTTACACTTATTAATCCCTCTCTTTTTTACACTTTCAACCACTTCTATCCTGATTTGTTTGAGGGAAGGGTCTATGGGCAGAGACGATGGAAGAAGCATAGTTTCTGTTCTGACTGCCACAAGACCACGCCAAACACTGTGAGTGTGTGTTAAATCAGGAATGCTGAAAGAACATTATGCTTGGTATGTTTTTCCTCTTCAAACTAAAAATTGGGTCTCCAGCCGACAAAGTTTAAACTCGTCTGGCTAGTGCGCTTCCCATAATGTTCACGCATTAGGTCAGTTGGCGGTGAGTTGGTGATCTTTTGTGGCTGTTGAAACACATTTGACCATATGAGCTTTTACACTATATGAAACAATCCGGTCTAACTTGTTTTCGTCAACCTCTGGAAGTGGTAGAAAGTGGACAAACTCAAAATGTATTAGACCCTGTTTACACCTTTTTTAGCGTTGCCCGCTTGTGATCCGATCGACCATAACGCATCTTAATACCAGGTGTATTCAAGTGTCATCAAGTGCATTTGGTTTTTATTACTCAGCTTGAATTTTTCTTATATTCAAATAAGTACACTGACTGTCTTTTTTGATACTAGTACATGGAATCAAGCAAGTAAAAATTCATCCACAGGCGGTTTGTCCGTCGCTGTTCCTGGAGAGATTCGGGGATATGAGATGGCCTATAAACGACATGGGAAGCTTCCATGGAGAGAGCTGTTTTTACCAAGCATAAAACTGGCCAGAGACGGCTTTCCCATTGGCAGCGCATTAGCCAGTGCCATTAGATCAAACAGAAATATCATTACAAATGATAGGATGTTATGGTGAGCAGCACTCATGGATATTTTCAACCAAGATGTTTAATATTCAAACAAATCTATCAATCTTCTTTTAATAAGGTGCACTATAACTCTTCTTTTTATGTAATGTGTAATGTGTGTGATATGTTATGTCTAGTTTTGTCCACAACCTTTACACATTAACATTTTCTGCTGATTGTTTGGTTTCTTAGTTCGGTGTTCTGCGATTCCGCTGGAAACATCCTGAAGGAAAATGACACCATAACCTTTACAAAGCTGGCAGACACATACGAGGTGATAGCAGAGAATGGGCCGGATGCGTTCTACAGTGGATCGCTCGCTGAGAACCTTGTGAGGGACATCCAAGCTGCAGGTTTTTTATTCGCACATATGTCTATCTATTATTTGGTATCAACCGCTCAGAAAATAATCTCCACCACTGTCGGGGAAAGTTACTTTTAGAAGTAATGCATTGCAATATTACATTACCCCCTTAAAAAAGTAACTAATTAGTTACTTTTTATAGAAAGTAATGCATTATGTAACTCTGAGAGCGGTAGAAACCCCCCCGCTGTTACGGATCTGAGAAGTGCTACGGACCTCGCCCTTCGCGCCACAAAAGCCGCTGCAAAAGCTCTGGAGAGATGCATGGCCGCCCTCTGTGTGTTTGAGAGACACTTATGGCTCACGTTCGCCGACATGGGAGATTCTGAACGTGCCACGTTTCTCAACGCGCCCCTCTCCCCGACCGGCCTCTTCGGATCTGCTGTCACGGGTATTGCCGACCGGTTCTCCGAGGTCCAGAAAGCCTCCCAGGCCTTGAACTTGTTTCTGCCCCGCCACGCTAGCTCTTCAGCAGGCTGCTCTTGTGAGCCCCCTGCTAGAGCCCCACCCCAGCGCCCTTACCAGCAGGCTCAACCATCCCAACGCAGACAGGACGGCCGCCCTCGCTCTCGCTCTGACAGCGGCCGCAGACAGCCGCCTCCCCGGGGGCCTCGACCCAAGATCGACCAAGGCCAGATCATCAGAAGTCTGCCTAGCACAGCTGAGAAAAACAGCACAGCTGTTTTGCCGACTACAGTAGTGTTCACCACCACAAACAAGCCGGTCTCCCTGCCCGCTTGCAAGCAACAAAAAGCTGTTTTCACAGCTACCCAGAGAAATCTCAAAAAGAGCAAAACTGCCTCTTGTGTAAAAAATGTGCCCACAAACATGTGTTCACTCATACACACAAGCACCACATGTCCTGTGTTTCTCACAGAGCCCATCCCCACAGAGCAGGCACAGACCACTCTGGTATCAGAGAACATAAGCATGCCCACGAGCTAATGCGCGTGTCCCCTCTCTGCTCGCTCTGTCTCACGGCCCATAAACTCCTCTCTGAGTGTAAGTCCCGTTGCCACGCACAGTCTAAGCGTGCCCACACCCCGTGTCCAGCTCGCTATGTGCAGCAATCAGGGCGATATAGCCATTCCGCCGCTAACAGCGTGCTTCGAAGTGTGGGAAGCCATTCCGGGCATTTCCCCGTGGGTGCTAAGCATTACAAAGAACGGCTATCTGCTACAGTTTCGTCGCTGCCGCCTCGCTTCCATGCTCGGCTCGAATCCACTGTCAGTCCGGTGGCTATCAGCACACTCCGCTCAGAAATAGCGAAGCTATTGCAAAGGGCGCAATAGAGAGAGTTCCACCATATGACCGAGTCTGGGTTTTACGGCCGTTATTTTCTTGTTGCCAAGAAAGACAGCGGCCTCAGGCCGATCTTAGATCTCAGGTTTTTGGTCAAAGCGCTCATGAGGAGACCGTTCAAAATGCTTACAGTCAAGAAACTCCTCGCGCACATGCGCCAGGGGGACTGGTTCATCTCTCTAGACCTGAAAGACGCCTATTTTCAGATCCAGATAAATCCCCGTCACAGGCCGTTCTTGCGTCTCGCCTTCGAGGGTCAAGTTTATCAATACGCCGTTCTCCCGTTCGGCCTATACCTAGCACCCCGGACCTTCACGAAGTGCATGGATACGGCGCTCGCCTCCCGCGGAGTCAGGGGCTGCGTATATTAAACTATCTGGACGACTGGCTGATTTTGGCACAATCACAGACGGAGCTTCTGTCGCATCGCGCAGTTCTCCTCGACCATCTGAAAGCGTTGGGTCTCTCTGTCAACTGGACAAAGAGCTCCCTTCAACCCAGTCAGACTATTTCCATCCTGGGGATAGATTTGAACTCGGTCACTATGACGGCTCGCTTTTCCACACAGCGCGCGCTGTATTCAGCGACTAGCCGCTTCGTTTCGGATGGGCACCCGCACACCTCTGAAATCCTTTCAGAAGATGCTGGGTTATATGGCCTCAGCCTCCGCTGTGCTTCAGCTGGGCCTTCTGCACATGCGCCCGCTTCAGCTCTGGTTAAAGAGCCGTGTATCTCACTGTGCGTGGATTACATGTCGCCAGCAGATCAAAGTTACGCAGACATGTCTCACGGCACTGCAGCCATGGACAGTAGCAGATTGGTTTCAGCGGGGCGTCACCATGGGGACCTTCACCCGCCGAAAAGTCATCTCGACAGACGCATCCAACACGGGTTGGGGTGCGGTCTGCGAGAGCTCACCAGCCTTCGGCCATTGGTCAACTCAGGAAGGCTCCTTGCACATAAACTGTCTGGAAATGCTTGTGGTCGAGAATGCGCTCTCGCGCTTCCTCCCGCTCATTCGGTTTCACCACGTCCTGATCCGTTCGGATAACATGGCCGTGGTCTCCTATCACAACCGTCAGGCTGGGGTCAGATCCAGGCATCTCTTCCTTCTGACACACCGCATCCTAGTTTGGTCCCAGAGCCACCTGCTCTCGCTCAGAGCGACGCACGTGCCGGGCCATCTGAACGACGGCCCAGACATACTGTCAAGGAATCTCATCTCCCCTGGAGAATGGTCCCTGCAAACCCAAACAGTCCAAATACTGTGAAGGTTATTCGGCAGAGCAGAGGTGGATCTCTTCATGTCAGAAGAGAATGCTCACTGCCCAATATTCTTCTCAAGGAGCGAGGACGCACTAGCCCAAGACTGGCCCTGCCGCCCGCTCTATGCTTTCCCTCCGATCTCTCTGTTACCTCAGGTAATTCAGAGGATCAGGGACACACGCCACTCGGTGCTCCTCATAGCCCCGCGTTGGGAGAGTCAGACTTGGTTCCCGGAGCTCACCCAGCTGTCACAGACAGCCCCATGGCCCATTCCAGTCAGAGCAGATCTCCTCTCTCAAGCTCGCGACACGATCTGGCATCCCCATCCACTGCGCTGGGCGCTTCATGCATGGGTGACCAATGACTACTCGTCAATTTGCCAGAAGGAGTTCTAAACACGATTATGCACGCCAGAACGGCTTCTACCAGGAAGCTCTATGTGGCTAAATGGTCTGTGTTCTCAAAATGGTGCACCGACAAAAACTTGGACCCACGGTCGTGCGAGGTATCGTCTTTGCTCGTTTTCCTTCAGGAGATGTTGGATAAGGGCAGGTCCCCATCCACTCTCAAGGGTTACGTGGCAGCTGTCGCGGCATTCTCGGAACCCCGATGCGCTCAGTCTCTGGGCAAAGAGTTAATCATCCGAGTTAATCATCTGCTTCCTCAGGGGAGCTAGAAGGATGAACCCTCAGCGCCCCCCTTCGGTTCCTATTTGGGATCTCTCTATAGTTCTCGAAGCTATGAAAGCCCCCCCGTTCGAACCGCTCGAGTCCGTGGACCTTAAATATCTCTCTCTCAAAACCGTTTTTCTGACTGCCCTGTCCTCAGTTAAACGTGTGGGGGACCTTCACATGCTCTCGTCTAGCGCTGAGTGTCTTGAGTTTGGTCCTAATGACTCTGTTGTCATTCTCAAACCTAGGCATGGCTATGTTCCTAAAGCAATTGGTACCCCGTTCAGGGCTCAGGTTATTTCTCTATCGGCTCTGCCCACATCCGATAGCGAATGTGACGCCAATCTCCTCTGTCCGGTTCGGGCTCTGAGGTACTATACTATACTATACGCGCTGCCACGTTCAGACGCTCTGAGCAGCTTTTTGTGTCATTCGGGGGGCGTACCAAGGGTCTGGCCGCCTCTAAACAGACACTGTCTAGATGGAGAGTGGACGCTATTGCCTCTGCTTATGCATCAAAAAGCCTGCCTTGCCCTCTGGGCATCAGGGCTCATTCCACTAGTTCTTCATCGTGGGCATGGTCCTGCGGAATTTCCATCCACAACATTTGGGTGGCCGCGGGATGGGCCTCCCCATCCACCTTTGTCAGATTTTACAACCTGGAAGTTCCTGCCTTGCAGGCTACATTTCTAGCTATCTATTATGCCTCAGCTCATCTAATGAGCTGCACTATTGGGAGTCTCTCACACAACCGGTTCGCCCCTTGTGCTTCCCTTATGTGCTTATGTAATACACAACCACGGGCCCGCTCTGCTGCCCACCACATTACATTCACTCCACTCATAAGGGTCCCCCAGTCCCCAGTCCCCAGTCTCCAGTCCACCCCCCCCCCCCGTAAGTCATAGATGCATAGTGCGCACGGTGTTGACCAGGTGTTTCAGGAGACACCTCACTTCCCAGGAGAACCTCTCGAAAGAGAACGAATCGGTTACCTAACGTAACTTCGGTTCTCTCTAGATGAGGGAACGAGTATTGCGTTCCCGGCCACTTGCGCTACTAGTGTTTTTGCATTAGCCTAGGAGAGCACCTTTTATACTCTCTAGCCACACCCTTTCTGGCGGGCTCTGACGCAATGAGCACGCATCTGCTTCTCATTGGCCGCGGGCTCAGCTCCGCTCTCCCATAGGCTTAAGCAGTTCTCTCTGAGCGAACCAATGAGCTGCTAGCTAGCCCGCTCATGGTCTGCTGCAGAGGAACTGCATTGACAATGGATACAAATTATGGAATAATTTTTTGGCTTCAATTTCTCAGAAAAGATTGATCTTTCCCGTAGCATAAGCTAGCTAACGCAATACTCGTTCCAAAAAAAACGAATATCGCTGTGTGCAGTGTTTTATGTGTGTCTCAGAACAAGGAGCCACGTAAAAGACCCTATGTTCCATTCCAAGGCAGTGGGGTTAAAGATGGTGCGCCTCTAAAGAAGAAAAAGAAACAGGTGGCGTGAATTTATGGTTCTTACTTCTGTTGTGGCTTTCCTATAAGCCCAAGACAGGTGGTGAGGTGTTCTTCACACATAAAACTCTGCACACAGCGATATTCGTTTGAACAGTTTTTTTGTCCATTTAATAAGAGCTTAGCGATTTTACATTGCACTGGTTCTATGGTAAGAACCATAAATTCCCGCCACCTGTTTCACTCTGATTCAACCGAACTCATTTAAATACCATGTGATGGAACAGGTGTGGCTTTCACCTGCACCACTGATGCACACCGCCATCTAGTGGTGGAACAAATTACATCTGGCTCCTACAACACCAATTCTTGCTGCCAATACGACAATTCACCATGACGTCACAACAATAAAAGACGTTCTTCCGGGTGGCAAAAGCCGAAGCGTCCCTATGGCAACACTAGTAATTTGCATGGAGGGAGACACACCGCCGGCAGAAGCCTAATCTACATTTCAACAGTTGATTCAAGAACAGACGTGGTGGAAATTCAGACATAGTTAACATGATCATTAAAGCTTAGATTCTTTGATCTAGAGACGTGCACTCCCAACGCACTAGACCGCAGCGCGGGACTAGATCTGATGGCCGAGTGCGGGCGGTAATGCACTCTGTGTGTGCGGATTGCAGGAGAATAAAACGATTCGCGGGACTCCCGCAAACTAGAAATATCTATGAATAAAACAAATAAAAACTAATACATTTGTATTTATCTGTTGCAGAAAAGCAACAAGAACAACTAAAACAAAAAAGAAATGACTTACATGGCAGAGTTTCATTTTATAACGTGACTGCAGCGATGAGCTTTGTAGCCAATCACAGACATATGTGTTGATTTATTGAACGCATTGGCCAATCAGAAGCATTTACGATGAAGAAGCATTTATTCACAGCTCAAAAGAAAGTAACATAGAAAGTAATAGAAATTAACTAAGTTAGTTGAGAACGTCAGTTATATAACGACCCACGTATTAAAAATGGTTGGGTTTAAATCGGGCTCAGGCTCATAATTAGAAGACGACGTGCACTTTTGACGACGTCCACTCGCTTTAACCTCCTCACCCACATGTTCTGCTGGATAGATTTACTTTTTTCTGAAGGAAATCGATAAAAAAACTACACCTTTTGCTGTTGTAACCCCTCACACCCGGGTCCAACTCGACCCTCGAACCCGGGTCTCCAGCATGAGAGTCAGGCGCGCTAACAAGGAGGCTAAAGACTGCAGCCCCTAGCGTCTGTCGCTAGAGCGCCTATTGAGATCGGGGAGTGAGGTTTACTCGCACAGCAACTACTAGCTGGCCTCCGTTACACTCACCCCCCTAAACCTCACTCTCATCCGGGTCACGGCACCAATGTAACCCCTCACACCCGGGTCCAACTCGACCCGCTCCGAGCGGGCCTCGAACCCGGGTCTCCGGCATGAGAGTCAGGCGCGCTAACAAGGAGGCTAAAGACTACACTGTATATCTGGTGGCGCAACCCCAAACACAACATATTTTCGCCATAGATTCAACTTTGATCAACAACAATGATTTTAACTGTGTAACTGTTCAGTTGCCGGCTGGATCTCTTCAGTTAGTCAATGGAAGCCGCTCGCGTTCTGCCACCCGGAAGTATCGCGGTGCCTTTTGTTTACAAACATTCTGAAATGCCCTATAGTCCACCCAGGCAGAGGTGTTGAAGGATGGCACACAATTGGTTATTAATGACTAAATCGATAACTTAGTAGTAGTTTGATCTCATTAGAATCATGTGTCATACAGGCATCTGTGTGTGTTGCAGAGGGGATTATAACTCTAGAGGACTTGAGAGATTACAAGCCCTTGCTGGATGAAAACCCTCCCAGGGCTACTGTGGGTCAATTCACAATGGTGGCACCAAACGCGCCTGCCAGCGGCCCGGTCCTTACATTGATCCTCAACATCCTGAGCGGTAGGTTTAGAGTTGAACCACTGGATATGCGATCTATCCTGGACACTATTGTTTTGCATTGTTGTTTTAACATTTGATATTGACTGCAATTTAAATAATATAGCCTAAACTAGGGTCTTTTTCCTGTTGCATTTAACATAGGCCTACATTTGGTCCGGTATGGTGGATTTTACTCTAGTGATCATGATTTTTATAAATATAAACTCAGTATAAATATCCGTCAGTTTTGAAAGAATATATTTTAGTTATTTACTAAAGTATGATAAACATTAAAGAAGAAGATTTTGTTCTTCTCCAGACTACAACTAAAATGGTCAAAAAAGCAGCATAAAATAAACATGTATAATAATAAAAAATATATAACATAACATATAGGTCACTCTCAAACAAGATTATATGTAATGAAACCGTGTGTGGACGCATAGAAAGCTTTCCCAACTGGATTTTAACCTTCTGATGGTCCTCGGTCACTTCTGACTGAATAATTTTCTGTTTTGAATTGTAAAAAAATCACGGCTTCATCGGAAGTTTATGATACTTGGTGACCTTTCTGGCATTAGGGATGTGAACACACACACAAAAAAAAATTGAATTCATGATCTGAGCATGCTAAGTGCTCGTAAAAAAATTATTCACAATTTTGGTCTTCGGTCAAAAAATGACCCCCATAGGAAATTAATTGGAAATTGACAAAAACACAAAAATTCACTAAATTTTTTCCCACACATTTTCTTAAATATTATTCAACAGTGTTAAAAATTGAATGAACTGCATTTTTGATACACATTGTGAAAAAAATTTGTATAAAATTTGCTTACAGCAACATAAACATAAACATAAAGCTGTAATTATAATGCAAAAACGAACACTTTTTTATCACTATTTCTAAAAATAAAAAATCTAAAACTTAATAAGAAATCATTTTTGAGATTGTTTCAAATATATATTCAAATCCACCAGCAAAAAAATAAAAATAAAATTCACATGCCTCTCCACAGAGAGCTGTACATGCCATCTAAGTGGTTACACCATGGTTCTATGCTTTCTCTCTATACTGTAACCAGATGGTGCTAATTTTCTTAAAAAAAAATTCTGAAGGCCTAGACTCCATATTAAACTAAAATACTGCAATAATAATAAAAAAATTATATATATATATATATATATATATATAGAGAGAGAGAGAGAGAGAGAGAGAGAGATATTTTCCATGGCAAAAATAGACCATAAATATTAATAAATTCAATCAAATTGTCTCAAAATACTAAATTAAAAGAATAAATATTATAGAACAAAAATACATTGCATTGGTTTTTACTGGGATGGAAGAAGTTTCATTTTTAGGTGTCGGTCATTCTGACTGGGAAGGCTCAGGGCGTGACTCCTAAACGAAGACCATCAGAGGTTTAAATGATCACACTGTATATGTTTATTATGTTGTTATATATATTATTTATTATCATATTTAATGTCGCATTTACAACCAGTTGGGGGTAAATAAATACATTTGCAATGTGCTGCTGTTGCTGTTGGTAAGGCAAATGTTTGCGCTCCTTTGTTTCTGTTTGATATAATTGTAAATTAAAATACTGATGCTTAGCTCCTCCTGGATCATCCTGCTGCCCTGTATCTTGCCTATAGGGCATCGTCGATGTTTCAGTCAGAACACATTTCCCACAGCAGGATTTGGAAACACTGCCAAATATCTCACGGGCATTGGCGACTCGTCTGCGATTCTCTCAGATCGCGTCTTTGATCATTGTGACTCACGTAAATGAACACCAATTTGCCCATGATTTGTAGGCGATCTCCCAAAACCTGTTGGCGAGCGAAAATCGGGCCTGTAGTTTCAGTTTTTGCTAACTATAATAACCCTGCTCGAAACTGCAACTTTATATGTCACAATGTGACTTTATATCTCACAATGTGAACTATTTTTAATATCTGAAGCAGAAACAAGTTTCCATGATATAAGCAACATTGACATTGCAGACATCGTAGGCCTGTGAGCATCAGTACCCACACGGCCCGTCTGTTTAATAGCTTTTTTCCAGCCACTGTTAGGCTAGTGGCAGAGGACATTAAGGAGGGCAAAATGTACCCTATTCCATGTTTTTAAATTTTGTAATGGTCAGTGCATGTCACAGTCCTCCGTCTGCACCAGTCTGTCTTGTCTTCAGCACTACACTTACCAGGATCCTCTCGTCACCCTATCCCGTGTTCACTCCCTCATCAGCCACCTGTTCCTCGTCATCATCATCTGTTTCACCTGTTCTCACCCCATTATGTTTGATTCCTGTGTGTATTTAGTTCCCTCTGTTTTAGTCAGTCCTTGTCGGTCGATGTTTCATGTTACGCTGTGTATCCCGTCTTCCTGCCTGTTTTGAATTAAATGTCTCTTAATCAAAATCTGGACTCAGCCTCTTCTTCTGCCTGAACCCGCACCGTGACAGATCGACCGACCAAAAAAGCAACATGGACGCCGGGATTTTCCAGGGGATTCTCCACCCGACTCGGCGCCCCCGGTTGAGGCTCGTCCCCCGAAAGCCTGCGCTCACCGTCAGCCCTGCCGAGCCTGTGCTCACCGTCAGCCCTGCCGAGCCCGAGCTTTCACCGCTGGTTCCGTCCAGCTCTCCAGAGATTGAATGCTCTTCACCGCTGGTTCCGTCCAGCTCTCCAGAGATTGAATGCTCTTCACCGCTGGTTCCGTCCAGCTCTCCAGAGATTGAATGCTCTTCGCCGCTGGTTCCGTCCAGCTCTCCAGAGATTGAATGCTCTTCGCCGCTGGTTCCGTCCAGCTCTCCAGAGATTGAATGCTCTTCGCCGCTGGTCCCGTCCAGCTCTCCAGAGATTGAATGCTCTTCACCGCTGGTTCCGTCCAGCTCTCCAGAGATTGAATGCTCTTCACCGCTGGTTCCGTCCAGCTCTCCAGAGATTGAATGCTCTTCACCGCTGGTTCCGTCCAGCGCTCCAGAGACTGTATGCTCTTCATTGCTGGTTCCGTCCAGCCCTCCAGAGACTGTATGCTCTTCACAGCTGGTTCCGTCCAGCCCTCCAGAGACTGTGTGCTCTTCATTGCTGGTTTCCGTCCAGCCCTCCAGAGACTGTGCTCTTCATTGCTGGTTCCGTCCAGCCCTCCAGAGACTGTATGCTCTTCACCGCTGGTTCCGTCCAGCCCCCCAGAGACTGTATGCTCTTCACTGCTGGTTCCGTCCAGCTCTCCAGAGACCGTCCAGCCTGCGCCCGAGACCGTCCAGCCTGCGCCAGAGACCGTCCAGCCAGCGCCAGAGACCGTCCAGCCAGCGCCAGAGACCGTCCAGACCGTCCAGCCGGAGAACGTCCAGACCGTCCAGCCGGAGACCGTCCAGACCGTCCGGCAGAGACCGTCCAGACCGTCCGGCCGAGACCGTCCAGACCGTCCAGCCAGAGTCCGTCCAGACCGTCCAGCCAGAGATCGTCCAGACCGTCCAGCCAGAGACCAGTATCCCACCCAGCCTCCCTCTCCCACCTCCTCCCGTCTGGCATCCGTCAGCCCCTCCGTCTGCCAGCTCCCCTGACCCAGCTGGGTCGTTGGATCCCCGGCCTTCACCTCACACCTCCTCCATCTGGACACTTCCTCGGCCCTCTGTCCCATCAGCTCCCCCGTGGCTCCTACCTCCCTCAGCTCCTCCATGGCCCCTCAGTCCACCAGCTCGGCCAGGCTCCCTCGACCTTCCGGACTCCCTTCGTTCCCTCGTCATCCTCCCTTCACCTTTGGACTTCCTTCCCTTTGCTCCGCACCGTCAGGTCACCCCCCCGGTTCTGTCGGACTCCTCACTCCCTCCAGTCACCCGTCAGCCCTCACGCCCTCTGACCTCACCGTGTCCCTCTGTACCCCTGTCGTCACTTCTGTCCCCAGAGCCTACGGTGTCACCATGGTCCCTCGGTTCCTCCTCAGCTCTCAAAGTCGTCTGTCCCTCTGCTTCACCCTGGTCCCCTCTCCCATCTGCTCCGCCCCTGTCAGTCGGCCCCCTGGTGTTGTCAGCCCCGCTTCCATCGGCTCCACCAGGGGTCCTCCCTCCATCTGCTCCGCCCTGGTCTCGCCCTCCATCTGCTCCGCCTTGGTCTCGCCCTCAGCCTGCTCCGCCCTGGTCTCGCCCTCAGCCTGCTCCGCCCTGGTCTCGCCCTCAGCCTGCTCCGCCCTGGCCACGCCCTCAGCCTGCTCCGCCCTGGCCACGCCCTCAGCCTGCTCCGCCCTGGCCACGCCCTCAGCCTGCTCCGCCCTGGCCACGTCCTCAGCCTGCTCCGCCCTGGCCACACCCCTCTCAGCCCCCAGTTCGTCCCCCCTCCTTCCCCTGTTCTGCGGCGTGAGGTCACGCCTCCCGGGAGGGGGGAGTTCTGTCACAGTCCTCCGTCTGCACCAGTCTGTCTTGTCTTCAGCACTACACTTCCCAGGATCCTCTCGTCACCCTATCCCGTGTTCACTCCCTCATCAGCCACCTGTTCCTCGTCATCATCATCTGTTTCACCTGTTCTCACCCCATTATGTTTGATTCCTGTGTGTATTTAGTTCCCTCTGTTTTAGTCAGTCCTTGTCGGTCGATGTTTCATGTTACGCTGTGTATCCCGTCTTCCTGCCTGTTTTGAATTAAATGTCTCTTAATCGAGATCTGGACTCAGCCTCTTCTTCTGCCTGAACCCGCACCGTGACAGTGCAATAGTATATATACAGTATATATATATATATATATATATATATATATATCAATTTTTTAGAGTTTCTTTCTATTTTTGTACGTATTATATTACTATTATTTACTATAATTTATTTTTAATTTATACATTTATTTTTTATAATTTATAAATGATAAATTTATAATTTATTCAAGAAAGATTATTCTTACAGTCTTTTGTAGTTTAAATGTGATGTGAGATGTATAGTTTCATGTTATTTTATTCTATTTAAAACCTGACTCTGAGAAACGCACAAGAATTCCAATGTACCTGTACTGAAACATACCTGTGCAAATGGCAATAAACTTTGAACTCTGAACTTTGAACACTGACCAGCATAATTGCACGCTCGACTTTTTTATCAGCAAGAGGAAGCATCTAGTTGCTTCTCATTACAGGATGACTATTAGTCAATGTTTAATGTTCTTAACAATTTCTTCATGTGGAATAGTCTCAGGGGAGGATGAGACTTCATAACTTTCCAACTTTTTTGTTGCTTAAACTATTAAAATCACCCCACCCTTCACTCCGCCATGCCTGTCCTCCTGTCTCCCACACCAACACTAACGTGGGCTGTTTGCCACTAATTGGACACAAACCAAGCATGGAAAAATCCATGAAGTCAGCGTGTTCCGACCCTTTCCTTGGGGTTCCACCAGCAGGCGACACTCTGAAGGAGCCTGTCATCTGAGATTCATCAGCTTTGCTTTCTTACGGCAAGCTGGACTTTATCCACGGCTCTATGTCTTGGTCTCTTTTAAAAACACCCACTCTTTAGCTTTACTGATGAGATACTTAGTCATTAAGTTGCTGCCAGACAGGGCACGGCTGTCGGTAAACACTGTTAGCACTTGTTTTTTCACAATGTAGCTTGATTTATTCAGAAGTTATGAAACATCTTCCACAACGAAACTCTCATAATTGTTCAGTTATTTCAAGACATGTCTGGCATTAATGGGAGAGACAATTTGAGATGTTTTCAGACAGTAAAACTGGGTCAGTTGTCGAACATTAAAATATTAGTTGACCTAAACATGAAAATCACATTATCATTTACTCACTCTCATGTCATTTCCAAACCAATTTTGCTCATTTTCGTCTGTAGAACATGTGATAAGATGTCTTGAAGAAAAATCTGTTAAATTTTCTATCTTTAAAGGAGTCCAAATATTATTTTTTTGTACATTTCTTACAACGGTCTTTAATGTGTAATGTTGCTGTTTGTCTGCAAAGTTACAAAGCACAAAGTGACTACAAAGGGAGTAAATCTCTATATCTCTGGGCACTGATTCTAAACTAAAACTCCTCGATTGCAGTCTTCAGTTTTCTTATAGGAACGAACACATCACTATCCCTCTTTTACATAATTGCTGCTATAAGCAAAAAAGGGGCAAGGCCTGTTTGAGTTACTGTACGTTAGAAGTTATGCAGTTATGGAAAGAGGTGTTACATTTCCAAAACAATCACAACCAATCACCAGTCACAACACACTGGTCCAGTGGACCAATCGGAGCACACTGCGCTTTTAAAAAGGAGGGGCTTCATAGAGACCGTAACTAATGCCGCGTTCCAGGCAACCTGTAACTCGTGTTTTTTCAATCTTATACCCGTGAAAGTGCACTGGAACGGCAGTCAAACTCGTGACTTTCCACCCGTGAACACGTACTAGATCGATGTACTCCCAGTTACGAGTTCTGACGTCACATAGCCCGCGAACCAATGACAGCCCCTACTGATGCACGGTGAGAATACACTTTAGGACAATATGACGTCAACTAGTTTTCAGTCCATTGAGTGCAAGGATAAATATATACCAAATACATTTCCAAATATACAAATAAAGTAAAATAAAGAGTATAACAGCTTATCTTGCCTCATGCGCTATTTTTCCTCCTCAGTTTCCCACAAATAAACAAGGAGTAAGCACCTTTGGCATTGGAAAATATTACAAACGTGCGTGAGCCCCGTAAGGTCCGCCATGCTGGTTTGTTTACATCTAGGTAGTTTGGCGTGAATGACCTGGAATGCTACAAAGTCGTAAGTCGTGGTTTGAAGTCGTGATTTACGTGTTCAAAAACCTGCCTGGAACGCAGCATAAGAGCGTTACTGACAGACTGGGAAAAGAGGTACTGAAACAATGTCAACTATTTGAAAAGTAATGTGTTTTTTTCAAGCATGAAAACCTAAACCCCAAAAACAAAACCAAGAGTTTGAAAAAGGGCATAATAGGCCCCATTTAAGAACTAAAAATTTCCCATCTCATTTGTGCTTCAGCATGTTCAGATTTTATAAGACGAATGTGAGAAACATACGTCATGCTTCTGAAGACTTTCCATGGCAGCCATCTTGATGATTGGCAGTTCTATCCATTCATATGACAACAGTCAACATGGTTGAGTAATCTTACTGAGGTCCTGTTCTTTTTCCTCAGGTTACAACTTTAGTCCGGACAGTGTCTCCACCACTGACAATAAAATCCTCACCTATCATCGCATAGTCGAGGCGTTCCGGTTTGCGTATGCAAAAAGGAGCGTCTTGGGGGATCCACTATTTCTCAACATCACTGATGTAAGTTATGAACAAAGAAAGGGTTGCTTTTTTCATTTGTTTAGTTCAAATTTTGGGTGCACTATTCCTTTAAGTGACTTTTTATCAGTAATATTTCTAAACCACAACCAAAAAGCATTATTTGAATGTAAAAATGCTCATGTGTATCTTCAGCAGTTGTTCAGGTTGACACAGATGGCATTGGCATATGTTAGCCTCTCCCGATCAGTTGTGATCAAAGCCTTTATTGAATCCGACATGCAGTATCTCACACTAATCACAGAGCATGAAAATAGTGCGCTATTGAACGGCTCATTGTGCGTACGCTCTTTTGATCAGCTGTTCTTTCAAGCCTCCAGCAGGGCCTCAATAATGATCTGTTATCCTCTTTCTCTCTGGCAGTTCATCCAGAACATTACTTCCAAAGGCTATGCTGACATGATATTCCAGAAGATCACTGATAATACGACTCAGCAAGAGAGCTTCTATGATCCTGAGTTCTATATTCCTGACAATCACGGCACGTCACACTTGTCAGTGGTGGCAGAAGATGGCAGTGCAGTGTCTGCCACCAGCACCATCAACCTATAGTGAGTGTTTGCCTTTTTTCTTTGCTTATGTTTTATATTAAAAATCTGTCATTACTAGTCATAGATTTCACACTTTCGGGGGGAATTGGCCTATAATTAGGCTTATTTAAAGTACTCCTATTATGCTAGGTTGTGCCACACCACTTCACAAGAGGGGTAACGTGGGGGTGAGACTGTCCAGGTTACTCGGGAAGCTCCTATTTTAGGTTCCTAATTTTTTATTTAGGATCTCTCCTACAATAGGTTGACATGCATTCTAAAACACGTTGACCTCTTTAAACTTGGTCAGATGGCTCAGTCTCTTGTGATTGGTTTACTCTGCTCTGATTGGTCAGATGCAGTCTGTTGTGATTGGTCTATTCCAGTGGTGGAATGTAACGAAGTACAAATACTTTGTTACTTTACTTAAGTAAAATAAATAGTGCATACTTTTTACTTTTACTTCGTTACATTTTGCAGCAATTATTATACTTTCTACTCTACTACATTTCTACAACTTTTGTTACATTTTCATTACATTTTCTGATCAGGTTTTCCCCTGCCAAAACGTAATTTGACCGTCCGTTCATTGCATGTTTGTCTCAGCAGTGACGTTTGGTTGCCATAGATATATCAACCCGGTCACACTAAATGTGTCTCGCACGCAGTGTGTTTATCGTGCAATTTAAACGCGAAAATTTGTTTTTACATGCATAGGAAACGCACTTTGTGTAATATACGTTTGGTTAGGATTATGGCAAGCCAAGAGGTTCAGAATAACACCATAAATCAATCGCGTTTACTGCCAAACATAGTTATTAACATATAGTAAGGATAAGCATGATGTGTAGCTATATTGCCTAATTGCAAGCTTGTTTCAGAAATGGTGACAACAATTTTTTTCCATCATTATTGAACATCATTATAGGGGTATTAAGTTGAATGAGTTAGAATTAAATGTTTTATTAATCATTAGAAAATAGACATTATGAGAATAAATTGTTACAGTATGCAAGTACTTTTACTTTTAATACTTAAAGTACATTTAAAATCAGGTACTTTTTACTTAAGTATGGTTGTCATTGTGTTACTTCTACTTTTACTAAAGTAAATATTTATCTGGATATTTGTACTTTTACTTAAGTACTGAGATTCAGTACTTCCTCCACCACTGGTCTATTCTGCTCTGACTGGTCAGATGGCTCAGTGGCTGTGTCCAAAATCTCCCACTACTCACTATATCATCATTGGTCGGGTCCCCTGGTATGGAGCTCGACAATATGTTTCCAATTCTATATTCTTGGCGATGCGGATGATCACTTTAGTTTCCGCTTCCCTTTCGACATGGGTGAGTGACTGACTGCTCTTCGCTGCAGGGAGAGCTATTTGGTTCCGGGCTTTTTGACTTTTGTTGTACTCGTCAATATAGCTCCTGATTTTGTGTCTGAAAGTTAAGTGTGGAGCTCCTCGCTTGTTCTTATCACGGACTTCTGAATGATAGATGGCATAAATGTGGGCTGGTTCGCTCTCTTCCATACGAAGACAGTGGCCCACAAACTCTAGCTGTCGCTTGCGGACAATTTAACAATTAACAATTTTGTCAGACATGTCAACGCATTCTCACCCCAAGGCGTCACCTTTGACCATGCTTCAATATTTGACGTTTTAGGCGCCCTTTAGCGTCACTAACATGACGCGATCCTACGGCGTCATCTAACTGACGCTAAAGGAAAGCGTCAGTTAGAGGACGCGGTTAGGTTTAGGTGTGGGGTGGGGGTAGGGTACACGCGATCCTAGGGCGTCATCTAACTGACGCTAAAGGGCGCCTAAAGCGTCAGATATTGAAGCATGTCCAAATGCTTCCCAAGGCGTCAGTTAAGTGACGCCTTGGGGGTGAGAATGGGCTGGACATGTATAAATTGTTTGTAAGCACGCACACGTTTAAATAGTGCAACATCAATGACGTATTCAATGGCGCCGAGAGACGATCGAGTAGTGCTCGAAAGCGGTGTTTCTGTTATGCTGGTGAGCTCACTATAGTGCTTTAATAGGGGGTAGGGAGTAATGGTTTGAGTGGAGATTTCGAACACAGCCAGTCTGTTGTGATTGGTTTACTCTGCTATGATTGGTCAGATGCAGTCTGTAGTGATTGGTCTATTCTGCCCTGGTCAGATGGCTCAGTCTGTTGTGATTGGTCTACTCTGCTCTAGTTGGTCAGATGCAGTCTGTTATGATTGCATTGGGGCGGCAGTGGCTCAGTGGTTCATGTGGGTTGTCTGAACCGAAAGGTTGGTGGTTCAATCCTCGGTTCCACCTGACCAAGTGTCGAGGTGTCCATGAGCAAGACACTTAACCCCTAACCCCAGCTGCTCCCGACGAGCTGGCTGGCGCCTTGCATGGCTGACACCGCAGTCGGTGTGTGAATGAGTGTGTGAATGGGTGAATGTGAGGCAAATGTGAAGCGCTTTGGTGGCCATTAGGTCTATGAAGGCGCTATATAAATGCAGTCCATTTACCATTTACCATGATTGGTCTACTCTACTCTGAATTTGATCTTCTACTCTGCACTTTGATCTTTGAAACTTTGCAGACTTTTTTACATCCAATAGAGATAGAAGGTTGTTTTAACCAAAAATAAATAAATACAAATTTAACACAAAAAATACACACCATTTTTTTTTTATATTTGTAAATGGAATCATGTTCTTTCTCTTCTCCCAGTTTTGGCTCCAAGTTTATGTCAAATTCGACAGGAATTTTACTTAACAATGAGATGGATGACTTCAGTTCTCCCTTGATCACCAACAACTTTGGAGTCCCTCCATCTCCCAACAACTTCATTGTCCCACGTAAGAAAACTTGATCACAGATATTGGCAATAGCATGTATATTTTTTTAATTAAAAATATTTTAAATTAATACATTAATAAATTAATTAAAATTAATATATTTTTTTAAATTAATACATTTTTGCAGTATATTCTATGAGACGAGTGCCATGCTTTACTTACAGTGACTTTAGTGTTACTCCAATTTGCATTGCACTTCACAATTTTATCATCATTACTTGAAGTAAAATCACTGTAACATGTGGCTTATAGCTTCTATAAAAACAACAATATGATAAAAGACACTATAGTTAGAGTAAAAATCGTTAAATGTGTTTTATCTTACCTTTGGCTAATATCTGTTTTACTACTCTAAAGTTACTTCAAAATTACTTAAATATTTGAATAATATTAAATACAATAAATGTTTCAAATTCATATAATTAAATCAATATACAATATTGTTTGAATAAAAATAAATAATTGTAAATATTATACAATCAATATTTTTAATGTATATAATTGAGTGTATAAAATTAATATAACAAAAACAACAATAATAATTTTGATCTTATGAACTTGTTTGAATAAGTCAAGAATGAGGTAATATAATATTAATATTAATAAGAATAACTAAGAATAATTATTAATAATATTTTAACATCTTATTCTTGAGATATTCAAAATATCAACATTTTAAGTTCCATTTTGCAGTTTCAAACAGCCACAAACTTTAGCGAAACTACTTTGCAGATTTGTTTTAATTGTTTGGAAACGCTGTTGCTTCTCATCTTTGCTCAGATAAAAGGCCCATGTCTTCTATGTGTCCCGCCATCCTGCTAGACAAAAACAATAAAGTCAAAATGGTAGTAGGAGGCTCTGGAGGAACGAAGATCACCACAGCAGTGGCCCAGGTGCATTTTTATGTTATTTCAGAGACTGTAGTTGTGCTGGATATAGTTCAACTCTTATCACTTCATGCATAACTGACATCTGCGCAGGTCATCCTAAATGCACTATTCTTCGAATATGACCTGAAGAAAGCAATAGCAGACCCAAGAATTCATAATCAACTCAGTCCGAACACCACACAGGGAGAGCCTGACTTTGACAAGGTGAGTCATTTTATATAAGATAAGAAAAAGTTAAAGTGTTAAAGTACAACGTATGCTGCTGAGTAGTAACTGATGTAATCTGATTATATATCAGATTCCAAAAATGAAGTACTTGTAATTTTTTATATTATATTATATTTTAAAGTGCTTATAATAAGAATACTGTTACTTTTGTATTGATTGCGTTTTTAAATTTAAACTATACTTTCTAAAAAAAGACTACCACTTATACAGTATACAGTGTTTTCCAGATTTGTGGAATTGCACACTTTTAAGGAGACATATCGAAAAACATTACTTTGCAATATAAACTCTATTTCCTATTGACGTCAAATAATTACATAAAAAAACATATTTAATAGCAATTTGGAAGGTTTGGAAGGCTTTTTAAAATTTACAAATTCACATAATTTCATATTTACAATGTAATCCACACATACATGCAAAACCTGCTGCATTAGCATAAAGTTACCTTTAGTTTTGTGAAAAGGTTGTGTACGGAATACTCTCTTTTAAAACTTTTCACAGATGCACTTATGATATTTTTTTTAGACTTGAAATTCAGAAATATAATATCCATATAATCATGGATGTAATTCGTAATCCCAAAATTGCCTGTTCATAAGTAGAAACTGTCCAATAATGCAAACACATTTCACCTACATGTCCGTATTTTATATTTTTATGGTTTCATTAATTATAAGCTTTTCATCAGCTCTGTCACAAACTCCAGTTTGAGAAACCCTGATGTTATGTAATATGTAATGGACTTCATGTTACACCTGCACTGTAAGGGTGTTTTTGAGTGTAACCACTTATTCATGGTCACATTACTCCAAAAATGAAATGATTGTAACAGCAATTTCTTTCAATGCTGGATTGAAATACAATAGTCAACCCAGATAGCAAACTGACATTGAATCAACGTGGAAACATGACATCGAAACAACGTTGATCTGACATTGTTTTGCTCATCGAATTAACGTTGAACCAACGTCAGACGCGTCATTCTTTCAAAACTAACGGAAAATCAGCTTGAAATCAACGTTGTTTCAACGTTATGAAAGCAAACCAATTTTCGATTTTCATTTAGCTTTGAAGAATGCGTTGCGTCTGACGTTGGTTCAACGTTAATTCGATGAGCAAAATCAACGTTGTTTCAATGTCATGAGAGACGTCGTTTCCACGTTGATTCAATGTCAGTTTGCTGTCTGGGAACAGTTCATCAAAGTTATACATGAATTTTGAACAATAGCTGTTCTTGTCTTAGGACAACTATGAACTTTTTTTGATCCACTTTAAATGTTGACTACTATTTATCCCATATATTTTCTTGATATTTTCTTTGGTTGTTCTGAATACACATGATGTTTTGGCTAAGCAAATCCCACACAACCCACAGGCCGTTTTGGAGGGTCTTGCCCAGAAGAACCATGTCACAGAGGTGTTGAAGTCCACAGGCGCAGTGGTTCAAGCCGTGGTGCGGGACGATGCTGGCCTCAGCGCTGAGTCAGACCCCCGTAAGGGAGGATACGCAGCTGGGTACTGACCTCCGACTCAGCGATCCAAGTCTCCAGGCCAGCTGGAGGCAATCGAGATGCTACTTCAAGACCGCAAGGACACTTTCCCCCTATGCTGCTCTCAAACAACCAAGTGCCTCCATGGGAGATCCCACAGGCAAATCAGAAGTGCTGTCGATGTTGATCTCTTCACACTCCACAATTAAGTGAAGGAGTTAAACAAATTCAAACACACACACACACACACACACACACACATTGAACACACACAATCTATCTTTGGCTGTGACACCACCATACTGCTCATTGTATTTATTTCTGCAAATAAACGCATTGTGATGGCGATTATGAACTCTCTTACGTCTTCTGTCTGTTCTGAGATTTACATCCAGGCAAAATACATTTTTTGCAAGACTTAGAGGGAGTGTCTCAGGGGAGGAAGTTTTAATCAAGCTTCTAATATGAGAACTGAAGCATGAACAAGAGTTGAAATACTCGTTTTAACGTCCCACGAGTATGTGGTCCTACCCACAGGCACCGGCCCAACATCAAGCAGCATCATTAAAGCTGAAGTTGTGGGGGACAGAGAAAAATCACATAAACAGTCCTTAATTAAACTTTCAAACTTTGGCTGTACCGAACTATAAGAAAAGACTGTCACACTCTTTAATCTAATAAATTTTACGCCATTTTTGTCACGCTTTCATATTTCCAAGAGGCCGATTAAATACAGCTGCAGGGCTGAGAGATGCACATAAGAAAAAAATTGTGACATTTTTAATCTGACATGTAAAGTAAATAATCTAAATGGCAGATCAAATTTCATGTCAAAGCAAATTTAGCCATATCTAAAAATACAAGTATATACATATCAATTGAATTATTTGGCAAACGATTTTACATGAATTAGTAATTGCCATTTTTGTCCTAAAATGTTATCTGCGGGGTAAAAAGTGTCTGAATTAAAAATGGTCTCCAAATGCATCTCACCTAAAGGATTATTAGGAACACCATACTAATACTGTGTTTGAACCCCTTTTGACTTCAGAACTGCCTTAATTCTAGATGGCATTGATTCAACAAGGTGCTGAAAGCATTCTTTAGAAATGTTGGCCCATATTGATAGGATAGCATCTTGCAGTTGATGGAGATTTGTGGGCTGCACATCCAGGGCACAAAGCTCCCTTTCCACCACATCTCAAAGATGCTCTATTGGGTTGAGATCTGGTGACTGTAGGGGCCATTTTAGTACAGTGAACTCAATGTCATGTCCAAGAAACCAATTTGAAATGGTAACACTTTATTTTACGACCCGCAAACAACTGTGTAAGTACACTGAAATTACGATGTACTTTTCTGTAATTATACTTCCGTGTAAGTACAAGGGAACAATATGTTAAGTTTGGGGTTATAAAGGGGTAACAAACTATCCTAGAAATCGTCTCGGTTACGGATGTAACCCTCGTTCCCTGAGTAGGGAACGGAGACGTTACGTCAGAAGTGACGGAGATTGGGGGTTTCGCATAGAAAGCCAATCCTCTTCGAGTATTTAAAAACGAGCCAATGGCGTGCAATGCCTTGGGGCTGCGAAAATTTGCATAGCGTACTCCGCCCTACTCCGTGAGTATAAAAGGAGGAAGTGAACGCAACCGCAGTATGTCTTCGCTGAGGAGCCAAGATTGAACTCGCCGTCTACCCAGCGATACAGCAGAAGTGGCAGGGAGACGTAACGTCTCCGTTCCCTACTCAGGGAACGAGGGTTACATCCGTAACCGAGACGTTCCCTTTCGTAGTCACTTCGAGTTACGTCAGAAGTGACGGAGATTGGGGGTCTGTGCCATCACGCCATCTTCAAGCTGTCTACCAGTGCCCTGCGAAAGTCTGGACCCCTCTCTCTTTTTTTTTTTTTTTAGGGATCCCACTTTAACACAGGATTACCAAGGTACACTGGGAAACATATCCCGGGAGGGACATGCTACCAGCTGCCTACCAAGGGGAGGACTTACAAATACACATATGGCCGCATAGGAACGCATATGGAAACACTGGAGCACCAACCGAGGTGGCTACTAAAATTTAACTCCAGGGGTGGCAGATGGCTTGCCAAGGGAAGACACACGCTCAGAGAGGCTTACAGTGGAAAATACACATGAGACGGTTACCATGGGGAACCGTGCACATGGAGGCAACTAGCCAGCATCCAGAGCAACAGCAGTGGTGCCCGCATCGTCGGTGCTGGAGGACTCAAGACTTCAATGGAAGAACTGAGGAAATATCGCACTTATCCAGTCCGGGGAGTGGAGTGGCGAGCAAGCGAAGACACCTGAGCGGGTCCAGTACTGGCGGAAGCGAGTACGTGAGAGGACACCGGCTCAATTCGCAGATTATAGAATCTGGCGAATGTGTTGGGTGTCGCCCAGCATGTCTGTTAGCGAGGCGCCGTGCGCTAGAGCCCAAGAGGAGGCCACACTCCGAGTGGAATGGGCCGTCACACCAAGGGGGCACGGACGGCCTTGCTGCTGGTAAGACAAAGCAATGGCGTCCACTATCCAGTGGGACAGCCGTTGCTTTGAGAGAGCCCTTCCCTTCTGGCTCCCCCCATGCCAGACAAAGAGCTGGTCTGAGGTCCTGAAACACCGCGTTCTGTCGACATAGGTGCGAAGAGCACGTACCGGACAGAGCAGTGCCAAGGCTGGGTCTGCCTCCTCCAGGGGCAGCGCTTGCAGGTTCACCACCTGGTCCCGGAAGGGAGTGGTGGGAACCTTGGGCACATATCCAGGCCGGGGTCTCAGGATCACCTGAGAGTAAGCCGGCCCGAACTCCAGGCACGCTTCGTCAATGGAGAATGCGTGCAGGTTCCCCACCCTCTTGATGGAGGCCAATGCAACCAGGAGTGCTGTCTGCATGGACAGAAACTTTAACTCTACCGATTCCAAAGGCTCAAAGGGATGCCTCTGCAGTGCACTTAAAACTAGAGGAGACCGTGCGAACTGAATCGCGTAGCCGAATCTGATCGTTCTGATGACCCAGCGGGACAGCCCGGGCAGCTCTAGCCAGGCTTCCAGGAAGTGAACCAGCGGGGTCATCCGAACCACAGACGTCCCCCCGGAGGGGCAGCGAGGCGGGTCGACCGGCATGCGCGCAGGAGTTACCCCGCCCGGATGCACCGTCGAAGCCCGCTCCCTGACAGAAGAGACCAGGGAAGGCAGAGCGTTCCACGGGGGGTCTGTTCTGCCGGGGGTCTGGCGATAGAGGGGGAAGGGAGGGGCGTAGCCCGGGGACGACACACGCTCCCTTCCGCGCCCTCAGAGACAGAGAGGAATGAGTGGGCTGACGCACTGGGACGTCGAGCGCACCCAATCCTGTCTGTGTGCTCAGTGACGATGTCAAGTCTTCTTTAACCAACTCAGGGTGCTGCCCACCTGTGGGTGAGCAGCGGGGAGCTGAAAACAAAAGATTCTCCCCCGGCCCTCCACCGGGGGAAGGAGGGGGCCTGCTACCGCCTCCTGGGAAAAACTCAACTTCATCACTGAGCAGCCCGTGTCAGGAACGTCGCTTAGCCTGGCGTTTAGCGGGGCGTGCGGCCTGAGGGGGCTGTGACGCCTGCCTGCGGCCTCCTCCACGCCGTGGCCCAGATGAAGGCTGCTGCTGGGGCCGGGCGGGAGGGGAGCCGCGGGGGGGCGTCCTCGGCGGCGAGCAGCGGGAGGCATCTGTGCCGACGACTGGGTGGAGGCAGCAGCTGGTCGTCGGGGCAGAATATGTTTGATTGCCTCCGTCTGCTTCTGGGCAGTGGAGAACTGCTGGGCAAAGTCATCGACTGCACCGCCGAAAAGGCCAACCTGGGAGAGTGGGGCATCGAGCAGACGAGTCCGCTCAGCGCTCCGAGTGCCTGCCAGGTTGAGCCAGAGATGACGCTCCTGGACCACACTGGTGGCCATAACCTGACCAACGGCGCGAGCGGCCACTTTCGTTGCCCGGAGAGCAAGGTCAGTGGCGGACCGCACGGGCGGCCCCACCATCGAGGGGGGGGAAGGGGGGGGAGAGATCGCGCTCTCGAGTGGACAGGGGAGCCCCCCAAGAGCGCGATAACTCCACATGCAGCTCGGGGAAGAAAGGCAAAGGAGTTGGCCGTGGCCTTGCGGCAGCAGCTTTGTCCAAAAACCAATCATCCATCCGTGAGAGATCGGGGCAGGGCGGAGGGTTCCACTCTAACCCGATACTCCCAGCGGCTCGAGACAGCATGGCCGTCAGCTCGGGATCCGACACGGGCAACGCTGGCACTCCCGAAGGAGGCAACGCAGCCGCATCCTCATCTCCCGAGGACTCTAGCCCGCCTAGTGATGCTGTGATCGACATCGCATCATCATCTGGAGCACTGCCCGAAGCAGCCGGTACCACCGAAGAAGCGGCCGACTGAATCGAACTAACGCTCGCTGGCTCTCGCACTGAGGCGGGAGGTGTGGCCCGAGGAATCGTCGGGGCTTTGTTCCACACCGTCACCGTGAAATCACCAGGTCCCCGGGTCGACGGGCCCCCCGTGAGGGAAGCCGATCGAGTAGGGGGTACCGGGACTCTCACTTTAGTCAGATCATTGAGTCTCGACCTCAGTGTAGAGATGGTCATGTTCCCACAGAAGGAACATGAGTCATCCACGAACGCTGCTGCTGCATGCTGAATGCCCAGGCATACAAAGCAGCGATCGTGACCATCAGATGACGATAGAAATCGACCACACCCAGAAGAACACGGGCGAACCATCTTTAAAAAGACGTGCCACGTGCAGCTCTTTCAATGAGAGGAGGAAATTCACTCTTTTCAGCGCTGAGGCGACCAGGGAGAAGCGCAAAGTCTGGCAGACCACTGCTCAGATCGCAGGCGATGCAGAATCTCGCTGGGTACCGCCGTCACACCAACACTGAAGAGGACGCTCGTCTCGAAGAGTCTTGAACAGTGAGAATGGCTTTCAGGAGTGAAGAGGTTCTCTTGGCTCCGAAGCGAAAACACACTGCGGTTGCGTTCACTTCCTCCTTTTATACTCACGGAGTAGGGCGGAGTACGCTATGCAAATTTCCGCAGCCCCAAGGCATTGCACGCCATTGGCTCGTTTTTAAATACTCGAAGAGGATTGGCTTTCTATGCGAAACCCCCAATCTCCGTCACTTCTGACGTAACTCGAAGTGACTACGAAAGGGAACTAGACGCACCCTAGCGGCAGCAAAAATTATTTCGCAGCAAAGTGTGGTCTAGCAACTCTGTATAGACGTTTGAGCTGGAAAACCCCAACTCTGGTAGGGCCAATCACATCGTGTATAGAGTCGGCAGGCGGGCTTAACATAATGACGACAGAGTTGC